ATAAATCGATAGGAACCATTTTGACAATAAAGTGTATATGCTGATTGTTTTTTTTTCTATATGCGCATGCATATGCATAAATCAATTGTCTACGTTAGTGCGTTCTGCTTGATTACTTGTTGAGAAGAGGTATCAAGAAGTGAAAAGAAAATATATGAGTGGGTTTCTTCACCTGTATATTTCGAACGATGACTACCTCTATTTCAATAATGAATGTGAATAATAAGATATTTTTTCTTTTTCTTTCTATTCTTGTGAAAAAAATTGATACAACGATTACTTGAACAGAATGTTAAAAAGAGTTCAGCGAACTTTGATCGAATTTCTGTACAAATACACATATATCTTACAAGAAAGTTGTTGTTATCTGTATTTAAATGGAAACATTTCTGTATAAAAAATTTATACAAATCAATAAAGACATACACTATACATGTCTCAAGCTTGTGATCGATCATTATATATGATTTTATGAAATTCTCTTTGCTGAAGAAAACATTAAAGACAATCAAAACGCATTGATTACAGTTGATTATTTGAATATTTAAACTCTATAGTAATACTTTGTTCAAAAGATTGATGATAGATACTAATAGCATCTAAGAGAGTATTTATTTGGATATTTTTCTCTAACCTCTTGCATTCATCGACTGTAGCAAATTATAAAGTATAACGAAGAAATAATTAAATGATTAAATATTAAAATAAAATAAGCAACAAATGGATATAGCAAAATTTGTCGTTATACATTTCTTATTAAATGTATTCGTTCATATCTGATTATTGTCTCTAAATTATATCTCTCTTATGAAGTTCTCATAAAGTATGAAGAGAAATACATAAATTATCACGATGTACAATTGTTTTAATCTGTTGTACTATGTTAAATATTGCATGTGCAATCTTACCAATGCATATTATCAAACTGGCAATTGCCTCAATAGAGGGAACAAGAAAGATATTTTCTCTTAATTTCGCTTCACCTTTGCATTAATGGTTATTTTGCTCATATCATTTTCAGCGATTACGAAATTAAGTTTAGTACTATGAATATATTAAAATCTTGTTTTTACACTACGTGTTGTTTTTTTCTCTCATGCGTAACCATTTGAAGTGTATATAAGGGTACACTTATCAATGTAAAATCACATCCAAAATATATTCTCCATCAGATTTGATTATGTCTTCACATGCTTTCTCCAATTAATTGGTCAAAATGAATACGATGAACACGCTATTCAATTTGCTCGTTATTTTGGCAATTTGGACAACAACATGTTCCTATGCACGTACAGCCAAAGATGATTGGGAAGCTAGAACTCTGTCCAATGGAGAGCGAAATCTTGCACGCTCATTGATTAATTCGTGGTTTAATAAACGTGCTTGTGTACCTGATGGTGGTCGTTGTGGTCCGAATAGTAGTCAAGGCGGTTCTTGTTGTGGAAATAATTGTTTTGGAAGTGGTTCGAGTGGCGGCGTTTGTGGTAGTCCTACATTTGATGGTAAATTTTATGGATACAATTACTCTGATCCCAATTTTAATGATTTCGATACAGTTGGTGCATCCGGTCTTGCTACTCCCGATAAAATCAACGTAAAAGGACAGGGTTGGGTCGATTCTATTCAAGTTGATTATAAAGGTGGTTCATCGCCACGTTCAGCACCAACAAGAGGAGGAGGCGGTGGAAATAGTTGTATATTGAAATTGGATGCTGATGAGAGAATTGTTAAAGTGGAAGGTTCATTCGCTACTTACTTGGATTATTTACAGTTTACTACAAATAAAGGCAGAAAAGGTGACGTATGCGGTGGTAGTAGTCGTAATACTCTGTTTAGCGAATCAAAACCCGGTTATGTCTTATCATACATAAGTGGTAATGCTGGATGGTATCTGAATGGTATCCAATTCCACTGGATTCGTGAAGAAGTCTCATATATTATCTCTAAAATTACATATGATGTAAGTGCTGTAGCAAATCAGGATCTGGGTGAACCACGTTCTGTGTACTCAACTACATTGACCAACAGATCACCAGTAGATCAACAGACCAGTTATACATATACATTTACAACTAGTGAAACTAAATCTTGGAGCATGGGTGTTGGTTATACGGTGAGTTTAACATGAAAGTAAATAATAGCGCGTTCAGTTCTTTGTTCACTTTGGGGAGCACATTCTCTAAAAAAGAATCAGTTGTTTATGAGTGCGTGTTAATTACAACCACAAACTGTTGAATTTAGCTTTATAATGGTGCAATTGAGTAACGAATTAGTTAGCACAAAACATAATATAGCGTTCAAATGACACACATCTAATTTCAACGATTTGTTTATTATTTCTTTGTTTTAGCTTGGTGTATCTACCACTGTTCAAGCAGGCGTTCCCGAAGTTGCATCCGTTGGAGTAACTATCAGTAGCGAAATCTCAACATCTTTCACTTATGGTCAAGATCAGACTACAGAAAAATCATATTCTCAGGCTATACAAGTGACCGTACCACCACATTCGAAGATAACAGCATCAATAATAGTTTTAGAAGGAAAAGTAGAGATTCCATATCAAAGTCTAGTAACTGTTGTCTTTGCTGATGGTACACAAGTTACAAGACCTGGCGAAAAAGGAGTATTTAAAGGTGTACAAGCCGTCACAGCTTATGCAGACTATAGCGACGCAACTTCAGCGTAATCTCTTCTGAAGCTTTGGCACAAAAACATGAACACTTTTTTGAAAAACCTAAAAGTGAAGACAATTATACGCTCTATATTGTTTTCCATTTACTAATTTCTTACTTACTTTATATTTTAATTTTACTTTTTTCAAACTAACCATACTCTTTTATCTTCATATCAAATTCTTTTTCTTCTATTTTATTTAACAGTTTTGCATCTTTATCTCGCATTAATCATTATCGGATAATAAAATATTTTACTTCTTCCAAAAACATTTACTTACTTCAGTTCCATTAGAAATTAAAAATTTTTCGATAAAATATGCTGCACTATTTTGGCTCTCATGACAATATAAATGAATCGAAGTGGTGTGAGTGTGGATGTGAACGTAGACTAAGAGAGTATCCACCTCACACCCACATGCTCACTCTCAACGAAGAATATTTCACATTGTCATTAATTGATTATTTATTTGATAAATAATAAGCAATATCATTTTTATTGGTGTCAGGTCGAGAATCAATTATTCTGAATTCCTTATTTTTGACACCAAAACTAACTTCATCATTCATTTGTTGTTTGTTATTCTATTTTCTTCTGTTAATCTTTCATAAAAGATCAAGTGCGATTAGGATCCGTTTCGATAACGAAAATTTTACAAGAGTAAAATTTCAATGGGCAGTTACCCATTTACTCCTCCTTCATGTTGATTACGCCATTGAAGTTCCCAATGAGAAAGCTGTTCGATGCTTTTACTATTCGATCAAATAAATAATTAATTTAAACGAAATTTATATATGAACAAACAGATATTACTCTTTACTTTTCTGACGTATTGATTGAATAAATTTTAGTCGAATTCACTGTAACAATTTGATTTTAGATGAACCAACTATGGCAATATGACACGAGATTAAGCTGTCAAAAACAGTTGTTGACAAAAATAGCTAGTTGCTTATAAAAGTGGAAGAGAAAGTGATGAAAACATGATGTATTTATTTCAACAAAGTACAGAATAGATAGGATCTAGAGAAGCATGATCATATAATACTGGCGTTTGCAAAAATACTTGCAAAAATTTTATTTGAACAATAATCCTATTTATCTAATATTTTATGGAACTACAAAAGTGGGTTTTTGAGGGATGAACCTTTATAAGATGTACTACATTTTAGATATATAAAAAACTGTTAATTAATTCCTCTCCAATATATATTCATTTAATTATCTCGTCGGCTAGTAACTTGAAAATCATCATATATAAATTTTGTCTGTTTAATAGAGGTTATATGATCTGCCTCTCTTATTTATCGTAAAACAAGCACTTCACCGAGCAGTATTTATTGTAATATTGACAAATTAAAGCGAGCAAGATGAAGAAAGAAAAAAGGCTATCGATTGATACTTTTAAGATAATACTGAATTCTTAGAAAGCTAAAGAAAAAACTTATCGACAAAAACATCTAGTCAATCGTCAACCTCAATGTCCAAAGAAGAAACACTAATGAGCTCGAACATATTGATTTAAATGTCGTGAAAAATTGTGTTCAATGCCATATGAGTTTGATAAGATTTTGATTATGTCATCAACTACTTGGTTTTTGTTTTTGTTCTCCCAACTTTCTTGCTTTCGTCGTAGAAAGAAACAACTAAAGGATGATTGTCTATTATAAATTTGTCAGCATTTTTTACAATGTCGGCAGCTTCTTTCGGATCATCATAATAAAGGAAAGCGTACCTAAACAAATATATAAATGAGGATAAATCAAAAATTAAAAAATGTTCAGATGCTTTAACAGAAGAATATTTTCCTTGTATAGCAGTAAAAAATCTTGGGGGAGGGTATCCTTTCTTCATCCAACACCCTCAAGATTTTTGTTATATTTCATTCTGTAAGGAAATAAAAATAAAATATCTGAGAGTGATTAAATTTTCAAAGTAGAAGACAAAGTCAGCATTAAGTGAAAATATCGGAAGATAAACCTCACCCCCATAACAACTTGGTTTTAGTAGCTGATGTGACCGATGTCTTCGTATTATGAACCGTACGGGCAGGAACATATTTCATTGATTGGCAACCGATAAATAAATTGTGTAGAAGATCTTCAGTGATATTTTCAGGTACTTGTCGTACTGCAATATTCCATGTTTCAGATATTTGATTTCTATTAGAAGTCTGACTGCGACCAGTTGCATATTCAACGTGACAGTTGTGACCAAAAAGTAGCCGGTTAATACGTCGTTTTCGATTGTATTCGGCTTGTCGGTTTGTACGATGATAGACAAATGCGTACCTTCGAAATCAACATAGATTGTAATACATTAAACACTGAGTACTAACATACTTGTGATATGGAGGTATCTGGCTCTGTTTCAAAATTATTTTTCTACAACCAGCAAAATGGCGACGTATATCGTTTTGAATAACTTCATCTTTTATACCGGACACATATAAAATGTTGTCTCTGCGTCCGTTGGTGTGAAAAGATTTTTTTTTGAAAATACTCTGACCATGAGTATCTGCTGTTGGTTCATTTATATTCATGACCGATGAACTATCCTAAATAGATCAAATAGTGGTCATCGTGAAACTGACATATATGTACTTAATGATTTTGTGTAAGTTGATGTTATTTTAACATTTTATTCGTCAAAAATTTAGATGTCTTGAGATACAACAGAATTCACGCTACTTACTAAGCTTGTTTCTTGATTATTATCATATTCATCGATTTGCATGTTACTATGTGATGTTGACGCTAATGTAGTAGCTGGAGGAGTGGAAAGTAAATCAGCGATATCTTCTAGAGATAACATGTACGGACTCTCCACAGTTTCTCTGATTGTTCGTTCGTTGAAACCTTCTAATAACGAAAGCTGTAACTCATCAGTTGAATTCATCATAGTTTCGAACTGATATAATGTTGTGAAATCTGGGAGTTCATTTGATGTGTTCAAAACAGTATTATCACTATAATAAGTATCAAAGTAGAATGATGATTTTTATAAGAACATTGAAAAATATCATACAGACAAGCTTTTCAAATCGCTAAAACCATCTGTTATGTCCAATTTATACTGAATTTGTAAAGTAGAAAATGAGCACGAAACTTACAGAACAATGAATGAAACTGGAAAGTATTTTAAAGTTTTTTTTATAATTTTGACATAAAATATTTTAAATAATCACTTAGTTCTAATCGGTATTTCGTTCAATTGAATTCGATTTAAAAAAATATAATAAAATCTTTAACTTTCTATCAAATACTACGAAGGGCACTGATTCATAACGATAGTTATTTAACATTAAAGCACATGTAAAGTATTCAAGCCAGTACGAAAAGGAAACCTACCCTGATATTGTTTGATTCAAGTAATCACCAGCTTCTTGAGTACTATTTTCAAATAGACTGGTTTCAATAAAAGGGATAGATAATTGATCGGCTGATTCATTCCAAGGTGTCAGAGAAGCATCAAACAAAGTTGATGTTACATTTGTTGCTAAATATTCTTTAGCTAAAATATAAAAATCATTACACGATAGAAATATTTCATTGTGAACTAACTTGTATCAGTTACATATTTATTATCGGTGTCAATATTCAGATAGATGTCAATATATTTTTGTATTTTATCGTGGTGAAATGGATCCTCGGCAATTGTTTTTGACAATGAACTTATAGGTAATTTACATTGACATGATATTTGTACGTTTGCATGGCCATCATAAATCCAACTAGGCAATGCAAATTCAATTGTTTCATTCCAAGCTGCATTTTCAGTGAAACTCTGACACAGAGCACCAGCTGCTAGAATAATTATCTCATTAGGATATTGAACAATGCGGTGATAACGAATTCCATATTTATCAAACATTAAAGGATCGATTAATATATTGCCATGTTCAAGACAAATTGAATCTGTTTCTCGTTGAAATATTTGTCCTAGAGAGTCTCGTTCACTAGCTGGTATGATATACCAATATCGAAGACCACCACCATGGTGGTAATCAAATGAAAAAAGATGTTGATGAGTAGAAGCTAGTGGAAAAATAGCACCGGGTCCATGTGCTCGAATTAAAGACGGAGCAAATTGACGAAGACATCTACTATCGCACAATGAAAGAAGTGAGCGTTGAGATAATTGACGTATATCAAAATCGGTTCGTGGAATACGTTTCAAAAAATAACTCGTTTTAGGTAGAATAGAAATAGTTGATATTTGTTTTTTGGTACCGAATTGCGATAGTGATGGCCAGAAATCCATTTCGTTTAACGGTAATACTTGCTTCTGTTTATTTTTATCAGTAGCGAACACTGTAGCTACAGAATACACCCTATCATATTCATGTAACTGAGTAACCTGTTGAATAGTTGAGGGTGTCATCATTTTAATTCGATGTTTTTTTAAAACTGCTTTGAATTCGGAAAATGGAGTTATTTTAATTCCACCATATTCTTTCAGAAGTTGTTCATGGGTGTACACGAACTGAATAAAATTTCTCATATTATGTGCAGTTGCCGGAAGAGCCGGCGCATCTATCGATCTTGATAACATAAATCACCTTTATATCTAGAATAGTTATATGGTACATCAACTTTATTTATACAGCACTTTTTTTACAAAAATGGTTCTAACTCAAATTGCTTGAACTGAAGTGTATCATTTTCTAAATTCAACTTAATTAATCAAAAGCTGAATAATATTTTCTTTTATGATGACAACCAAAAGCAATTAGTTATATCATCGAGTGTTACAGAAATCTGCAGACACCATAATTTCGTCAAAGAGAAGCTATTTTTTTGAAAAATGGCAGTATCTGAAAAGGTTTATCAAAGGTTCTCAGAGTCAAGGAATCTGAATCTCCTACTCGTTTCTCAAAATTTCACTTAATTTTCTTGAGAGAAATTATGAAATACATTCACAGTTCAAAAGTAAGTTTCAACTTATAAAATGACTGAATTTATTTGTCTATTTTAGTATATCATAATAATCAGAGTAAAAATAAGTTTGATCTTACTAAATAAATCAAATATTTTCTTTATTTAAATAAATACGAATGACCAATGAAGTCGTTAGTATTATAACAAAAATTTATGTTTTTGTCTATTTACGTAGACGTGAATAATCCCTTCAGTGTGTGTTTCGGCATCGATGAAAAGAACTATGAATGGTCTTGTTCGACTCGTGGCAAGTTTGCATAAGTTTAATATCGATAAAATTTAGGAGCTAAGGCTAGAAACAAGTGAGCGTGATCAGTGGAATTGAAGTTGCGAATTACTTTCTCTCAATTATTGATCGAGAACCTAACCATGTTCAAGTCAAATTATCTATTTCATAGCTAACCTAGTAAATTTATGATATTAGATGTTGATTGCTAGCTATTATAAAATTATTCAATTTCTAAAACACCGCAGGACAGGATTTGTAATGCACATTTCCGAAGATTGTCGAGCAACAGTTTAGGAATGCAGACCTACTTAATATGCTGAAGTATGTTGAATGGGCTATTTTTTAGTAAGAGTGGGTGTCCTTTCTTCATCCCACACTCACATCTACAAACTAGTTTCAAAATTGCAGAGCTTCTCTATAGTTGAACGATGTTTAATATGAAGAATATTGTGCGAATTAGAGAAACTCAACAGTAATGGTACAATAGTGATTTCGATGAAACAATACCTAAACAGGATTGACGTCGAACGAGAATACACCAATACGTTTGTTGTGAATATGCACGAAAGAAAATAGCGATGCAAATATACAATGAGCACACACTCTCACACTTTCTTCTCGTCATGGTTGAGTGATGCATAAAATATTTTTTGGTCCACGCGCATAATGAGCACAGTATCTATATGTGATATATATGAAGGAATGAAAGATAAACAAATTTTGTTTATGGAGGAGGTGTTTTTCATTAATGAGATATACAAAAACAATTAGATGCAAAAGTTTGACGTTCGACAATATGTAATTATCTTCCACTAATGAGATGCACAAAGGCAATTAGATGCATAAGTTTGATGTTTCACCATACGTAATTATCTTTCACTAATGAGATATATAAAGACAATTACATGAAAAATTTCGCTTTCGACAATATGCAATTATCTTTCAGTAATGAGATATACAAAGGCAATTAGATACGAAAGTTTGATGTTCAATAACATGCATCTTTCATTTTATGTATAACTATTGTGTGTTGTAATTATGGAAATTCTCACAAACGAGTATTCTTTATACTGAAAAAGAATCTAAATAATGACCTACTCTTGCTCTGTAAAACGGTGCTAATAAACTCTGAAATGGTTTATGCTAAGTGAAAGCGTTTATCAAACCAAGGATTTATGAATTTCTTATTCTACAAGTTTATCATATGTATATTTTTGGTTAACAGACAACAGTAAAATATTGTAGACTTTCAAGATAAAGATATTTTTTAATTGGCCTTAGAATTTATAATTACACTTTTTCCTTAAGAGAATATATTATTCTGTGTTGCAGGGAAGAATATCGTATCTGGAGATACAAAAAATCCAAAGCTTTGTGATTTGAATTTGTAAACTTAGGCTTGGTTGTGAGTTTGGCATTGGGAGCTTTATAGATTTTGAACTGGATTTGTGTTCGTGAGATTTTATGGTGGGTATGAATCATAGGCGGCGGAGCCTATAGGCCTGGGTAGGCTCGATTTCCTTGATTATTATAATGAATTGCGATTATAATCCCACTTCATTATAATAATTAAGGGAATTTGCTTTTTTTCGGTTATTTTTGATTAAAAATCGATTAAAAGCGTATGATTGTAATAGATTTTTAGACATTTTCCGGTTGATTTTCTCGTCAAAGATTTTTACATAGGAATGTCGATTAAACAAAGTCTGATTATATCTTTTCAAAGTAAAAATAAAAGACTAATAATAGTTCTGAATATTCATTTTTTCAGCACGCAGTCTTATTTTTTCTTCATCTATTTTTTAACCATTTTCAAGTAGTGTTTCTATGTTACACTTTCAGTTCATGTTTTTGTTTAAAAAAATAAAGTATCATATGGTTATTGAGTTTCAACAATACCTAAAGTCAGCAAGAAACACTAAACAATTAACAGTCAAAAACAATTTCATCGAATTTGGTATGCGGAGTCATTGGTGTGAAAAATTGAGGGTGTGGGTGTGTATATAGAAGGAACCCACCCACACTCAAGATGTTTTGGTTTCTGGGAATTCTTTTGTCTAGAAAAATCTGTTTTTAGCAAAGTATGGGCTGCTGTGGTGGTAATACTCAGATTCAGCATAGCTAATAACCTACGATCCATTATGCTTCATTAGAAAGATAATTTATCAATTTGATCGGTTTTCTCGTTAGTATGAATAAGATTCGCAGTTTTTCCATCGCTTTTACATTGAAAAAAACTAACCATGATGATCAATGAGGTTATTTTACATTTGCTGGTAAGATTATGTCCCTTTTTTTCTTTAGGATTCAACAAGTAGAGTCGTTCACTCAAGCATCGAAAGTAGTCGCATTAGAGCCTTTTGAAAAAATTTTGCATCTTTTTTTATTCTTTTCTAGAAATATACAATTGTTGAGTCATTATCATTTTCTTTGACATCGTTATTTTCATGTACTTTAGATTTTTGATATCGAAGTATGTATTCTTGACGTTGACGAGTCAATATCTTAATAGCACTATATTCAATTACTTCTTGATCTTTCATTGATGCTAATAAACCACGATGTCGACCCATAAGCATAGTTATAATGAGTAAGATTTTACTTCCAAATGAGAGAACAGATGCGAAACTTGTCGTCGTATTTGTATAGCCTAATGACATTCCAACACCACCAAATGCAGATATAATTTCGAAGATAATTTTTAAAAGTGTTATTTCTGGATCGATTGGCGCCATCCGACGATATTCAATAACACAAATAAGAAAAATAAAGACAAATAACCAAGTTCGCGTTAATAGAAAAAAATTAAATGTATGTTTAAATAATGCTTGAATGAAATGATTAAGAAATAAACGTAAACGTAAAGCTTTAATACGTTTTGAATATGTCGATTTTCTTCTCTTATCATTCAAACTTCGTGAAAATTCTTTTCTTGCGAGGTTTTTCGTAGCAACACTTTGTCGACGTAAAAATTGTTGCATTTGATTGAAGGGCGAAATATCAGTATTGGCTCCTGATACGGTTGACATTGCACGTTGTAACGTCCATGGCATAGACATTGATACATTTGTTTCACTATCGACTTCTGCTTGAGCTTCTAATGTCAACCAATAGATTTCAAATGGTGATTCATCGAGTGCACACAACATTTGTGGTTTAGTAGCCATCAATAATAAATAAACGAGCAATGTTGCTGTTGTAAACAGGCTAATATCGAATGTTTGAAAACCACAAAATCGAAGATTTATTGTTTGAAAAAGAAAAATCATAGAACGTATACCAAAACTATATTGTTGTAAACTATTGCTAGTCACATCGAGTATCAGTGAAATACTTATTGACATTGAATATAATATGATAGTGACAAAAAAATAAATACGAGTTTGTAATGTAGGATATAAAAGAGTTGATAGATGATGATTGTTTAAAAGAATATACTCAAATATAACTTTGTGATGCCAAGAAGTAACACGACGAAGGAGAAAAACGAAATTACGTAGAATAATTGGAAAGAAAGATGAACCACTTATTACCAACTAGAACAAAAAACAAATATATCATTATAAACATATGACAATACATGCAAAACACACTATACATTACCAGAATTATTACTATATTGAGAAAAATATCATCAACATAGCGTGCCAAACTTGTTGAGAAAGGTGTTAAACCATTTTGATTGAAACTGAAAAGAGTAAGCATACCTGATACATACCATGGGCTGAGAGTAATATTGTTTTGCAACAAATATTCTGGACTTCTATGTGTATGAAGCCATATTCCAATAGCAAGAAAACCAGTAGTATAAATTATGAAATAAAGAGTGAGTATGAGAATAATACACATAATATATGCTTGATAACGTAATTTTTCCGGTGTTGGTAACCGTGCTAGTTCAGTACGAATATATAATGGTAAATTTTGGTGATATTCAACATCGCACTTCTCATTATCACTATCAGTACTACAAGCAGATTTGTATGTTTTAGCTTTAATGACTAGTGCTGGTAATGTACTAATTGCAAAGCCTGATATGAATGCAAATCCCATCATAACAAGTTGTGATGCACGAGAAAGTTGAGCAAAATCTATGGTAGTCAAGCCACAGCTACATATGGTTGAAACAGCCGTAAACCAGGCGTCAAGATACGTCACAACCATGTATGTATTACGTGATGATGAATAGTTTTCAATTAAAAAGATGATGAGACCACCAAAAAGACCATTGAAAATAAACGCCATCAAATGAATGTAAAAATAATGACTCATTTTCCAGCGATATTTTCCAAATAGAGACTTTTTCGATTTTGAAATATTGCTGTGCATTGCTTGTGAATCGACTTTGTGGATTACGTCAGGTGTTGTTACTGTCGAAATTGTTGGGTAACAAAAACTAAGTTTTTCATGGAATGGTACATTATTTAAATTAGTATTATTCGTACTAAAAAAATCTAAGTTTTCGTTAATTGCTGTAAGTGTTTCAATAGCGATGCGTGAAGCACGTCTCTCTCTTTGCAAATCCCGTGTTGACACTGGCATCAATTGTACTGTTGAGTTCTATAAATACAAATATCAACAAATTTATGTATACTTTTATGAATAGAACAAAAAAAGAAAGTTTACATAATATCAATTTATAGCAAGATCGAGAAAGTGCAGACTATTTAATGGCTTGCCGACTCGTTCTCAGAAACAACAGTAGTTTTAGTGAAAATGGTTTATATTCTCTACTAGTCTTTTCGAATATCTGAACTGGTTTGATCAGCACAGTTATAATTACAGTACTGTTATACTCACTAATTATTCTTCATTTAGTATATCTGTTGCTATCAAATATGTAAATAAGATCATAAAAATCTAAGAAAAACACTTGTTTTTTTGATGATAATTTAGTGCCAATCACTTTTTTATTCTCTTACTATCAATTGTAATTCTTGATTCTATTATAAGATAAAAGGTTAACTGTTTAAATGAATATAGAATGTTAAAAAAGTGCTTGTCTATTGTTAATCAAAAATTTATATATCACAGAAGAAAAGTAACCAAATGCCAAGAAAATGAAATGTTAATATGGAAAATGTCAATATTGCAGAAAAGAACAAAAGTAAATTACGATTAAATTATATTTTATAATAAGTCAAGTTGTAATGCATATAGATAAGAGTAATGAAATCGGTTTGTGTTTTTTCAAACCAAGCCGAACCGATTTGATTGTTAAACTTTCAAAATTTCTCTCATTTTGTACTGACATTCGTCGTAAACTACCAGAACCAAAAGCTCTTTCTTATACATGTATAATATTCCAATACCTATGAATTAGAAGTAATATTTAATGTTCGCCTTAACAATAAATAGTCAATAACCAGATAAATTGTTCACTACTAACTTGTAAAATAAACAAAATTTTTATTATAGACAAATAAATAATTACATATACTATTTATTTCACTTTATTTATGTAACATTTTTTCTCAAATAATTTTTCTCAGGGTGGGGTTCCCCACCCTCAGTTATAGAAGTTTAATGTTTTTTTTGTAAGTTCCGTGACTAAAGAAAGATACTTTTTGTTGTCGCAAAACAGAACGAGAGAGCGCAGTTTTATAAGTTTCTTTCTTTAATATAACATTATCTCGGACGTATATATGAAGGTGTTTCTTTTCTCTTGCATGCAGAGAATAAACTCTTTGAAGATGAATAATATTACTATCAGTTAGAAAGAAAACAAAGAGTTTCTACGAATTTGAGGGCATGAGTGTAGGTATGGGTGATGCAGATGTGTCTATTTGGTTTACATTTAATGGAATCCACACTCACACCCTCAACTTCGGGCGACTGCAGGCGGCTTAGAATCTGTTCATGATCAAACAATGCAAATTCCAGCAGCAGATGTGGTTACAGAACTTGAGAAACAACTCGATACAATAGTTCAAACTTGTATTGGAACGTATAACTCTGAAGCTCGTCAGCTTCAGATGACAACCAAAGATGAAAAATCAACCATTTCATAGGATTTTTCTTATTTTTGAAAATGCTTGATATGTATATCTTGAATAATATATTATATAAAAGACATCGCAAAATTGATATCACTCATAAATTTACTCATACAAATTTTATTAATATTTAAATTCGATAGTTTTTAAAATTTAATGAACGTATAAATGTATCTAAAAGTTATTGTTTTTCAATCGCTGCATCATAAGATGGTAATTGTTCTTCTTCTTGATTAGATATTTCCATGTGCATCTGCGTCGACTGTATAACAATGGGAATATTTACAATAAAATTCTTAAATAATCCATGGGCTTTCACTTCGATTTTAATCATATATTCGACAGCAATTGGTTTATTAGAGAATGTTGGTGACATATAATGGAACGAAGAAACGATACGGTTATCCGTAGGAATTGCTAATTTAAGTGTTTCACGGTAATGTTCACCAGAGAATTCTTGCAATTGAGATATTTTCGATAGAAAAATAGTTAATTCACAGTGACCTCCCATAGCAATAGTACGATGCTGTACTAAATCAATAGATACGGATTTGATTGTTGTATGCTTTGGATTATCTAATTCAACGTTAAGCAGAAATATGTCACCAGGTGTAAGAGGACCATTTCTATCAACCAAAGCAGATTTAAAAGTAACATCACTACGATTATTATTGGTTGCTTCCAGCGGAAGATATGTTGAATGTAAGTTAGATGATGGATTAGCAATGACAAAGACGAAAAAATCTTGGTGAACATTCTTTTTAAGTTTTTCTGGCCGTTCGAAAACAACACGAACCTTATAATGAATATACGGGCCATGACTTGACAGTTGATTGAGTATTGGCGGAAGAAAATCAGCTAGAGAAAAGGAAATTGGCCATGACATATAACCTTTCTCAAGAGAAAAACTATCCTGAAGAAAAAAGAAAACTATATTTTTCTTGAAAATAAATCATATATTACTTGTTTTTCTTGCAGACATTGTAACTGTTGAAAGAAAGGTTCGTAATGATTAACATTGTAGTATCCACTTCCAGTGTATTGTTTAGTTGTATAAACAACTTCGCCCACAAATTCAGCAAAGATCCGTTGAATTTTAACATCGTCTACAAATGTATTGTTAAATGCTACAGTACCTGTTATGTGTTGACCTGCTCTAAAAGGTTGTGCTTGGTTAAATTGGATAGTAATGTTAGAAGCAGCACGACTTGTATCAGCACCCATTTTTAAAATGAAACGATAATTTTACTAAAATAGATTGGATATTTTTAATTCAGTTCGTTTTAGCTTACCTTTAAAAAAAATTCAGTCATTCTTATTTGTCTTGGATGAAAGTAAAATGGCAAGTATTTATTTCTTTGCTTAATATTTTTTCTATGTGTCAAATTCTTTTTATATCGAGCTAACAGACGTCATCAAAAAGTTGTTTCTTTCAAGAACTAAATATCACGTCTTCTCCAGATTAATAAATTAGAATATTATTCACCTTCATTTACAGATATTATTTTTCTCTTTTTTACGTCAGTAGCATATAAATTTAAATAACGCAATTCTTTTTGAAAAGTCGCTGTATGGGCGTTTCTTGTTTTTTGACGTAAAAAAATAGGAGTTAAGCCGTGCGCTATTATTCACACTCATTCTGTGACTCGTTACTCAGAACAACAGGAAAAAAAATTGTCGTATACCTTATTCATTTCATCCTTCGTTCACAAATAATATGAATGGCCCAATCAACAGTCAAGCATCTCATAATTAGCAGGAAATAGTAGACGCACACTAAATAATAATTAATGCTATATTTATCTATCAGTTATATTTAAGATTTGAACGTCAAAATCAGGGGAAATTAAATCTGACGCTTGATAAAACATACGTACTAGATGTCGATAGTTTTCAAAGATCTCATTTTATTTGAGCTCAACTGTAGTTCTCATCATATAAATTCAACTTTCAAACTATTCTCAATTCTGAAAGGATGAGTACTGTACACAGGTATTGAAATATTTTTTCGTTGTTTTATTGGTCATTTTTCTGAATCTATATAATTTTATAGACCTCTAGCTCTTCATTACATAATGATAATAATTTAACTGATACCCATGCCAATGCAGCAATCCATTTCGAGGGTGTGGGTGTGAATGAAGAAGAAGCATCCTAACCCACCCTCACCCTCAATTATAGAAGTTTGATGTTTGTTTTGCAAGTTCTTTGACGAAAGAAAGATACTGTTTCTTATCGCTAAACAGAACGAGAGAATGCAGATTTATAAGTTTCTTTCTTTAATATAACATTATCTCGGACGTATATATGAAGGTTTTTCTTATCTCTCGCAAGCAGAGAAAAAACCCTCTAAAGATGAATAATATTACTATCAGTTGGAAAGAAAATAAAGAGTCTCTACGAATTTGAGAGCGTAAGTGTAGGTATGTCTATTTGGTTCGCATTTAATGTAATCCACAGCGCCACTCACACCCACTCACACTCATCTACATTCACCCCACATCCACACCCACACTCACAAATATATTTAGCTAATTTAATGATCTGTACCGAAATGCAATTTATATCTGCTTGAAAGGGAAAAAGTTCCAGTGGAGTACAGATGGCAATCTTGTCTCATATCAAAAATCAAGCGAATGTTCAAACACTTCATTTTCTCCACCTTCCAAAATTCTCGATATCGGCAAATTGGATGGTTTATTCTTATTAACCAAATATTTCTTCGCAAAATCCATTGCAGATTTCTTTTCCATTGTTGATGCATTTTTGCCAACCCATACAATTATTTCTGAGCCAATATCTAATATGAAAACATCATTTGAATCTAGTAATGTTCGTCGAACATCTTCTCCAGTTGCTATTCTTCTAAATTTCAACATCCCTGATGCATCACTTAAACGATACAACCGTTTTTCATTCGATTTTATTTCATCGTCTGCACCACCTTCGTTTGCTGACTTTACTTTGCCATATCCACCTTTTAAATACGACCAGAACTTTTCATCTTGATCGCCCTCTTCTAACACAATAACTTCTGGTAAACCTCGTCGTTCTTCATCTAGAGCTCGACAATAAAAAGCTGCTTTTAACCGCTCTTGACCTGATGATTTTTTTCCGTTCCATTGGTAGAGTATTAAACCCGTATCCAAGACAAATACGTCGCCAGAATTCAAAAATGCTCTATTGAGAGGAACCTGTGATATTCGTACATGTTTTTTGCCTTTAAAATGTAATAGTCGAGGTTGATATTCATCAGGTTTAACATTATTAAATCCACTCTCGATACCACCATTGAAAATATTTATCTGATTATTAAAATAGCTCATGAACAACGGCGATTCATGTCCTTCAACTTCACGATGCTGAATAGGACCACCTCCTAAATAATCGTCTAGTTCTACAGCTTTATAAGCAGCTGTTCCACATTCATCGACTGTAGAGGCATTACCCAACCAAAAATGTATATCCCAACGAATCTTATTCTGACCGGATCTTGTATACGTACTTAGAATGATATACGAATCACCCGTGTAAAAGTATCCTAAATGAAAAAAATTCTTGATCATCGAGAAACATACGATATATATATATATACCATATTGACTTTTAGGCCATGGTTTAACATTGAAGTTTTCGATTCTCCATATTTCTAATCCAGGTCTTTTCCCAGCATTTTTCCATGCTTCTTCACTTTTAATAGCTTTTAAACGATGTTCCATTGGAGAACTTTTGCCTAAAACACCGAGTAAATATGCTAAACGATACATTTTCATCGATAAAAGAGATTATACCTTCAGTAGACATTGCCGTGGTACGAACCGCTACTAACTAAAAGATAATGAAATATGATAGCATTTCGAAGAATACAACCAACTTTTTTTGTCTTTGATAAGATAAACGAAGACGTATAACGCCATACCATATCTCTATCATTGCATTTTTTATCAATAACTTAAGCATGTAAATATTTTGACGGCGACGAGCGTTCTCTCTACAAAACACACTTATAAATAAATACAGACACATACGTACATATGTAAATATAGATCAAGTGAAGAGGAGTATCAGTGATTTATGCCATTACCATAGCCATTTCATCGTGGCGGCACCACGATTTCTTGTCAAAATGAGCTGAGTCTTCTCAAAAACTTAACCAGTGGCACTAAAGAGGGAGTTACTCGGAGTGTTCCCTCGATATATAGTTCATATTTCGACTATAAGTAGACCTCAATAGAACTAGTAAAAATCTAAAAGGATTCAGGCCCATGGGTCTTCAGGGTGGGGGTGGGTGGGTGAATAAAGAAGATACATACACGCACACCCACACCCTCAAGTTTATCTATATCAGTATCAATGTCTAAGAGAAATAAAACTTTATTTTCTATGAAGAAAAGTTTAGATTTAGTAGATACCTCATCAATTTATATCTCATTTAAATATTTATTATCATCTAGTTTCTGTTTGCGTTATGAATTTAGTCGATTAAAATTATTAAAAAGTAATCAATCAATTTTATTTCGACAAGATTCGACATTTAACTTAATATATAATTATGAAAATGATAGTTTTGCATTTCAAGTAATTGATCTTTCATATTATTCTTTTCTTGCTTTAGATTATGAAACTAATACGAGTTTAACCATAATAAAATAAAATCCAAAAATAACATTTGATCAATTTGTTGTCTTTAGTAGATAGATCGATGTTTTTCTATTGCATCTTAAAATTGATTTGCATTGAAGGAAAACAAACAACAATTTTATGCTTCAACATACTGTAATAGAGTTTATGAGTATATTAAAATTGTCTTTGAAAATTTCAAGCGATTTGTATTCTATAGCGAATTTGGATGTATCGATGATATCGTATTAGGATAAATCTAATGCAGGAACAAATCATTATTACTGTTTATGTGATTTATGTGTATGTAAATAAATCACTACGACATTAATGACAATAGCGTATTTACATCAAAATAGAAAAATCTTTCTTTTTTTTGTATAATTAACAAACCAAGAAAGTAGTTAAAAAAAACATTTAAAACATTAAAAAGAATTCAAATTCATAAAGTAAAATAGCACAATCACACAATCCACATGTTTATGGTGAACAAAATACAATACATAGAGTTTTCATTAATAGATATTATCACTTCTATTGTACATAATATCCTGTAAATTGACTTGTATTAGTAATTATTGACTGATATAGTCTACAATATTACTTCATAGCATATTTGTTATATTATGGCGATGATAAAACTAAGGGATGGACTGTGGATGAATCTTTTCTTAATTAAACAACATCCACACCGACACCCACACCCAGATGATTTAAATCAGTCAAAAATCAGCTTTTTCCTTCTTGATAATAGTTTATTATACGATACATTTTCATTAAAAAAAATTTTATTTTACGATAGCATTTAATTGTAACTGTTTGATAACGATATTCTGTTATCATTAATATTTAAATTATTTACCATTTACCTATTTCTATTGCATTGTGCACATATTTGCTTATGTTTCAGAACTCATTATCAAATTTTCTATTAGAAATTATATCATTTTTTATATTTTTGGTATAATGAATAAATCTTCAGGTGACTCATGACATGTATTTACGTAGATCATATATGTAATTGAAGTGTAACGAGAAAAATACGTCTTTTCGCAATCGTACGAATGAAAAAAAGTGAAATAAATTTTATCATATATAATAAATCAGCTAAAATCACACAAAATAAACTAGTGAATACAAGCATTCGCAATCGCACGTGCTCTCTATAGACAATTGTTTCTCACATATATTTTTCTTTATCTACCTCTATATTGTAATTACAGGTAAAGCGCATTAACGCTTGTCAATAAAAACACAACCTATACATACATGCATGTATTAGAATATAATATATTGATTTTATCAGTATGATACATACGTTATCTAGGCTTAGCCATCACTGTATTATGAGAAAAAAAAATCAAATACACCTTTTTTTTCGTAATGTAGTTTTTTATTTTTTTACATAACTAACTACACACACCCAATCATTTTTCACGTCAATCATTATTAAATGTTCTCTATTGGTGAATATTATACAAAGTTATGATTACCATATAAGAAAAAACATTTCAGTAGCTGCTTTATTCGACTGATAATATCAATATAATTTTTTAATTATATTTTATCATTTTCCTACAAAGTAAGAAAAATAATGATTTTTTTTTTGTTTTACTCTGGTATAATGAATCGTCAAGTTTAATTATATGATTTTATTTCTATCTCGAAAGACAGTAATAATATTTCAAATGAATGCTTTATCTTTTGTTATAGATTATCAATATTCATTCTAAAAATTAAAGAAATATGAACAACTATTCACAACAACGAATAATATCAAACAGAAATGTTCCCATACATAACATGACGGAAACATGAATTCCATTCAATGATGAACAGATAAATTATCGACAACCTAAATTTAACAGAAATGTTCGTATACAAACAGAATTAACTGCAATTGGAACTGATAATGAATCAATACGATATCGAGGAAAATCAAAAAAGAGATCAGTTAAAGTCATTGGTGATCCATCAAGTCTTTTGATGAATGTAACATATCAAAATGTCGATGATAAAGATACACGTGGTCGAAATTCAGAATTCTTACCAGAACTATTAGAAAAAGATGCAAATAATTTCAATGAAGACTCTGCTGACACTGATCAACGGAGAGGAGAATCTAATGGAACAGGACAAAAACTAACAGATACCAGTACTCCTGATGAAATAGAACCGTCAGAACCTATAATTGAATATGCTAATGAACCACTTTTACCACTTGCTGAAGCATGTGCTCCTCTTAATGATATTCTACATAATATATCATTTTATGTTCAATTAGCATTAGAAGAAACACCTTCACCACCACTTGATAATCTTACTGTTGATGAAAGTGCTGCTATTCGTTTATATACGATTGAATGGGATCGACCACATCGAAGTCTGTATTCATCGCTTAATTATACTCTTAAAACTCAACCTCGTGAAAAACTTATACCTTACCACAAATATATGAAGTTATTCATCACTGCTCTTGTCAAACTTCCATGTGTTCCTCCTTGTACTGTTTGGAGAGGAGTAACAAAAGATTTGAGTGCAGAGTTTCCACCTGGCACTCCTGTCACTTGGTGGGCATTTTCATCTACTACAACTGAATTAACTGTACTAGAAAATAACATGTATTTGGGTGCTAGTGGAAGTCGAACTCTATTTTCTGTCGAAGCTCTAAATGGTCGAACTATTAAAGCACATTCACATTTTGTTACTGAAGATGAACTTCTTCTTCTTCCTGGTACTTATATGGTTGTACAATCACTCTTTAGTCCAGCACCTGATCTTAATATCGTTCATCTGAAACAAGAGACACCTAAAGATATTTTATTACAACCACCATATGAAGGTATTGTACATGAATTTTTAATTATTTCTTATGAATAGGAATATCGGTTTTAATTTAGGTGCACATATTTTCCAAAACTAAAGTAAGTCTAGTTATATCTGTCATTTTCAGAGGATTATTTTTATGTAACTTCTTTTGTGATATATTTGAAGACGTCCATGGTATAAAAAGAAAAGATTTGCTATTCCATTGGTTTTGTCAATTATAACAATTATTACAGCAGCTATTATTGGTGTTGTTATGGGATTAAAATCTGCAAAGAGTGGTAAGTGATCAGTGATTTCATGATCTTGATCTTAATCACTACTTTCTATTGGTTTATTCTAGTTCAAGTATGCACAACACCATATCTAGGAACTATAGATTTCTTTCAAACTGGTAACTTTCCAATTTCTGGCATAGTGGGCACATTCGATAACGATACGAACTTAGATATCATCGTAGCAAATCAACAAGATGACGAAATTGTTGTATTATATGGTGATGGACAAGGGAATTTTCCATCGCAGTCCAAAGTTAAAAATCATCCACAACCTGTCTCACTAATATTTTACGATTTGAATAATGATCGTTCATTAGATTTCATAATAGTGTGTGAGGGTGATAATAGTGTCGGTGTGCGACTCGGTAATGGTGACAGTACTTTTCAAGAAAGAATTACTAATATAGTTGGTAATCGACCACAATCTATAACTATAGGTGATTTCAATCTTGATGGTACACAAGACTTAGCAGTAGTCAACAGTGTTGATAATACTATTAGTATTCTTATTGGAATCGGATTTGGAAAATTTACATCGCAACAAGTTTACTCTGTTGGTCATAATCCAATCACAGTATTAGCAGGAAACTTCAATAATGATGGCCTACCTGATCTTGCTGTTGTTAATACTGGTGATAACTCTGTCGGCATACTTTTTGGATATATGAATGGAGAAAATGTAGGTTTGATGCCTCCACAAACGTTTCAAGTTGGTTTATATCCAAGAGGTGGCATAGCAAATGATTTTGATAATGATAGTCATCTCGATCTGGCAACAGTTAACTATAATGCTGCATCCATCAGTATCTTGTTTGGGTATGGAAATGGTAGTTTTGAACCACAAAGGATATATTCTGTTGGTAATAGTCCACGTAGTCTGACCACATATGACTTTAATAATGACTCCATTTTGGATCTGGCTATAGCAAACTATTTAGATAATACAATCAGCATACTAATTGCTGGTGGAAATCGAACCTTTCAACCTCAAGTAATTTATAGTGCTGGTCAAACTCCATATAGTATCATATCAGATAATTTTAATAATGATAACATTAGAGATTTAGCAGTGACTAACTATGGAGTAAATGCTATCAATATATTGTATGGTATAGGTAATGGTACTTTCCAATCACCACAGGTATATCCTGTTGGTAATGCGCCGGTATCTATTACATCAGGTGATATTGATCATGATGGTGTGGTAGACATTGCAGTAGCAAATTACGTTGAGAGTACTATTAGTGTATTATTCGGCGACTACAATACATCTTTTCCAATAAATCCAAGGTATGGCACTGGTAGTCAACCAAGTTATATAACAGCGAATGATTTTAATAACGATACTATTGTGGATCTAGCAATTACTGACTATAATGAAGGATGTGTAAGCATTCTTCTTGGTAATAAAGATAAAACATTTCCAACTCAAGCAAGTTATTTAACTGGTAACATACCGATGTCGATCGTAGGTGGTAATTTTTCTGGTAGAATTAGTCCGGATGTCATAGTGGTCAATTATGCTGATAATAATATTGGCCTATTGTCCAATAATGGATATGGAATCTTTCAACGTGCAAAATTTACTTCAGTTGGCAGCAATCCCATTTCATTGATAGCAGGTGATTTTAATAACGATAACAAATCAGATGTTGCCGTCTGTAATGCAGGCGATAGCAGTATCACTATATTATTTGGTAATCAAGCAGGAAGCTTTAGCAATACGATAACATTCAACATTAGTGTTATTCCATACTCGATCATATCAATGGATTTCAACAAAGACAAGAAACTAGATTTAGCTGTTGTTAGCCAATTCAACAATACTGTTATCGTACTATTCGGGAATGGAGATGGTAATTTTACATCTTCACAAAGCTATTTTGTTGAACAAAATCCATATTCAATTACATCAAATGATTTTAATAAAGATGGTAATCTTGATCTAGCAGTAGTCAGCTACAATAGTGGTACTGTTAATATATTGTTTGGATCTCAAAATGGTATTTTTAAATCCGGTCAGAAGTATATAATTAGTTATGGAATATGTTATATAATATCGGCTGATGTCAATAATGATACTTTCATTGATTTAGTAATTTCTAATTGTTTCAATAACTCTATCACTATTCTATTTGGTCAGTCAAATGGATTATTCGCTAATAATATTAGTTATACAGTTGGTCTCTCTCCAACATCAATTGTATCGGGTGATTTTAATTTCGATGGACAACTTGATCTAGCAATAGCTTGTTTTAATGACAATACTATCAGCTTATTAATTGGAAATGGCAGTGGAACCTTTCAACATCTACTTGGATATGGAACTAGTATAAATCCTATTTTTCTCGTATCAGCTGATTTTAATAATGATTTAAGGCTTGATCTGGCGATAGTTAATCAAGCTGATAATTCCATAAGTTTAATGCTTAGTGATGTTAATCGAATCTTTCAAGCACGACGAACAATCAACACTGGCTGGAAGCCTGTATTTGTCTTAGCAAATTATCTCAATAATGATAATATATTAGATTTAGCTGTGGTGAATCAAGACAACAACTCTATCAGTATTCTATTAGGTGATTCAAATGGTTTCTTTCAACTTCAAAAGACTTATACGGTTGGAAAAGCTCCATCATTTATGTTGGCAGGTGATCTAGACAAGGATGGTATACAAGATCTAGTTATAATTAACAAAGGTAATAATAGCGTAAGTGTCCTTCTTAACAATAGAACTGGAATCTTTCGATCATATATGAACTATACAGTTGGTGATACACCAATTTCTGCTGTATTAAATGATTTTAATAATGATAACAATTTAGATTTAATAGTGACTAACTATCTCAGTGCTAGTTTGTCAATATTTCTTGGAAACGCAGATGGTAGTTTTTCAACTATGAAAAATTATATTGTTGGTGGATCTCCTTATGCTATTGTTGCATTAGATTTTAACAATGATACAAAACTAGATCTTCTAGTGACCAATTATATTCAGAATACTTTTAAAACGTTGGTGGGCTATGGTGATGGAACTTTTAAGATAAATACCGATCGTCAAGCTGATGTAGATCCAGCTTCAGTAATCATTGACGATTTTAATAATGACAAAATGGTGGATATTGGCATAATTAATACACTTTCTAATAATATTGGTATTAAACTGAACGCGTGCACTATATAAAACTCAATATCACTATTCATTCTATTTGAAGATCAATATCTTTTATGAACTATAGATCTTTATTGTCTCTTTTAATAATTTATTTTTTTATTATATTGAATCTTGTTAGAGAGCATTCTATTCATATTGATATGCTGACGATAAATCGCTAATTACGTAAATGCAAAGAAATCTAATTCACAAGACTTTATAGACTTTCTTTATATTGTAGAATATGATCAAGCGTTCTACGACATAAAATCAAATAAAATTGAATTTAACGTTTCTCTTAACAATAGTTAAACAAGAATGAATAGGAAAAAAATATATCGAAAATTTAAATATATAATATCAAATGCATTTATTTCGATTAATGCAACAACCAGCAACATATTTATCTTTTAAGAATATGAATAACGAATTTATTACATTTGAAGATAATATTTTAATATGACATTGATTGAATCTAATGAATGTTGTTTCGTAAAATTTTCGATGTAAAAAATTTAGCATATTTTAATTTGATAACGTTTAGTACAGCAAATTTTGAGTTCATAAAAGGTTTAAAGAGTACATATAGAATAGTTTCTATATTCTTGTCGTACTTATACTTACTATCCTAACATTTTATAATCACTCTTTTGATAATTCTCATCATTTTCTTCACTACTACGTAGATATTCTTTATTATTGATAGTTTCTTCAATTTCTTGTTCGTTATCAACAGTTTTTCTAAACGTTCAATTCTTTAAGTACAGAGATAAATATTAAAATACCTATTTTTATGAGCCATTTGAAAAGTATTATTTATGAGTATTGAAAAATAAAACTAACTTTGTCTATATATATATATATATATTTGATTAAAATGATTCATCTTTTCAATCATTACCGACTTCTACTAAATGACTACATTTATTTTACTCGTTCTGTTTAATTTGAACTATTTTTTTTTCATGCTGTACATTATTTACTGATGATATTTAGTCTGAATGTGAACTAGAATTGAATATAAATTAAGAGTATATTAGTTTTCGGTTTTCATTGAGATAACATCGTTCTATTCATAGCAATATTCTGACAACAGGACGCTAATATACATCAACTAGGTATTAGATTTATTGTTTGTAAGAAAAAATAAACTGAATTTTTAGAGATTGTTTTGATTGCAATTCAATTTTTCTCCTCTGTGTTCTTATATAATTTACACTAAATCTTACAAAATTACACTTAGTTTTTACTTTTTTAATTTTATTAATCACGATTAACTCAGTAAATAATGAAAGTTTTTATTTTCTTATGACTCTCAATATAACCAATTTACGACATTTTGATTCGAGAACATTGATGGCAGCTAAACTAATATGTTGACAAGTATGCATACATCACAAAACTAGAAAGATAAAGAAAATATATTGATAAATTCTGATAAATCGTCGAACTTGTAAAAGATTATGAAATACGCATAACATTGTTGTTATCTTATCATCATACTGATACTTACCAGAGGGCGTGGCAAATCTCAAATTGTAGGGTGTGGGTATCTCTTCTTGTAGTAAACACTCACACTCAAACTCACACCCACACCCTCAATAAAGAAAGACTCTATATATTTAATTAAAAGATTCTTTGTTTAACAAATTATGAATAAAATAACAAATTTATTATCAAATGATTCTATTCAAAAAGAAATGTTTTTATTATTTTTTTTATATTTTATAAAATATTTATTATTAGTAACAATTAGATATATATTTTTGATTTTATTTATATAATTGTCATTCTGTCGAATGTTTCTTCTTTCATCAAAATAAATTTTACAAATAACAGATGAACGTAGTGGCATAATTAGAAACTGTTGAGTGGGTTAAAGTTTCCTATACCTATTTCTCGGAGGGAATGCAGAGCTGGGAAACTCAATTCATTAAGAGAGAAAATTGCAAGTGAATTCGATTCAATTACATGTGCTTTGAAAAAAATTCTTAATTCAAATCGATTTATTAACTCAAATAACTTTTCTTCGACTCAATTCGATTCAACTCAAAAAATGAGCTATACTGAATTACCAAGCTCTGGAAGAATGATTTTTATCTTAAAACATTCAATAGAGATCTGATCTATTTTTATTAAATATTCATATATTATTAGAATAGCTCACCTAGGTTTAATAAGGTGTATCTACATGTTTTGTATTATATAGTCAATCTTTATTCTCTAATAATTTACATTATTCTCATAAGTAATTAAATGCATCACGACTATATCATACATGTATAAATACATATTTTCTTATGTGTATGCTCGAGCTGTTATATATAAATTTGAATAAATGTCTTTTTAATGATATTATTTCATTTGAAATTATATGACTAATATTATGTAATATTATAATTAATTTATTTTACTTTTTCATTTTATTTTAATATTTAATAATTTATCAGATTGTCTTTTAAATTCTGTTTGCTATGAAAGAAAGAAATTAAGATGAATATGTCAAACTAATATTTCATTTTCAAATTTATTCAATTATAATATAGATAATCATCATTAAAATAAGAATGGGTGTAGATATTGATAAAAAAAACAGATTTTTACAAATTTATTATAATAGAATCTATGATACAAATACAAAAGTTTTTGTTGATTATAAAATACTGATTAAAATTGAATCAAAATTTTTATTAATTTTTATTTTATTTAGGAACTTTTCCATATAAAAATATCAAATTAAATTTCTTTTCTTTTATTTATCAATAGAAAATCATTTGAATGAGTGGAAATAATATTATATATATTGATATAATTATCAACAGTCAATCTTATATAAATAAAAAAATATTAGTTATAACTCAGTTTAAATCTCATATCATTTTGAGAATAATTAAAAGATTGATTTTATTCTTAATAATAAATCAAATAACATATTCATAGTATACGGAAATTATAGATTATAATTTTAATCAACCGGGATTTATACTTAATTGGTATCTATGTTAAGCGAGAAGAGGTGTAAGGGAGTGTACATTTCCCTACGATACGTTAGAATTATGAGACTTTTAGCTATGATAAATATACAACCATCTTGAGGGTGTGGGTGGGTTAAGAGATAATAAACACCCACCCACCCACACCCACACCCACACCCTCAAGATGACATGCGAAGGCAGCGCAACTTTAAATATATGAGCTAATGAAACGAAAAATAGGGAAGAGACTGATGAAATTTGAAATATTCACTAGTATCTACGCAGTATTTTCCTCACATTTCTCAGATGTTCAAGAGTTATCTTCACATCTACATGATCGCTCTTGAAATTAACCCCGAACATTATTAAAGCTTTGTTTAAAAATTTCTCTGCTCTGTCATATATTTTGAAATGCATATGAACGAAGCCAACCTGACGAAGTGTTTCAGCAATTTGAGGTTGATTAGGTAAATATATGTTCTTTTGTATATTGTATGCTTCACCTAAATAAATAAGAGCCTCAGCGTAATTGTCTCTGTGTTTTTCTGTTTCAGCAAGATATTTTAAACAGTCCAGAATCGACTCATTCTCATGTTGATTGTGTTCTTTCAATAATTGCAATGCTTCTTCGAACAATCTGAATGCGTCTTCATATTTATTGCTCTTAAATGCAATATAACCCATGAGTTGGCGGATTTTCGCGATACTTGGATGGCTTGGCTCTACATTCGGATGATATTGTGCTAGTTTTGTTTCACAGAATTCGGATGCACTGTGAAAATTTTCATTTACAACATAATTTTCAACAATTGCTAAAAATAGCTTCATTGTGAGATCGTGGCCACAAGGTAGTGTATTTTCATACATTTGCAGCGCTTTCATAAAATTATCGAGTGCACGCTTGTAATCAGATTTTTTATTATAGATTAAACCAATACTCCATAATGCAGTAGCAATATTGTGATGTTCTGTAGTTGAACCGAACAGACGTATTTGTATTTTTAGAGCTTTATCAAAATGATTTAACGCTTTATCTGGTTCCCCATTTGCTTCATAATTCTTTCCCAAATAAATTAAATCCTTAGCGATTAAAATATGTTCAGTTAGAAAGAATTGCCGATCAATTGATAGAGCTTTTTTGTTGTATTCGATTGCTTTGTTTATGTCAAAGATGAAGAAAAATACTGCAGCTAAATCGTTTAAAGATCGAGCAATGAGTGGATGGTTTTCATCTAACAAGTGCTTTCGAGTTGCATATACACGATTGAATATTTCGTTTGCTTTTTGATATTCATATCTGCGGATATGAAGACAACCCATTTCAGCTAGAAAAGCAGCGTTTTCCAAAGTATCTGCTGTTGTCATTGGTAGCATTCGATTTATATATGATTCAGCTTTTGTTAATTCGTCTATAGTAATTAGAAGGCGAGGGTAGATAACATCTGTACTTAGGTCTTCGTACTCATTTTTGATTGCATTTATAAAGTTCTGTATTCTGGTTGACTTTGCGCTGGTTGAAGTCATTTTAACAATCCAAACTTTTAGGTCTTTCTCGTCGAAATAAACATCGTTTATTTGAAACACCGATGATAGAGTGAATAAAAATTCGCACTCGTCCCTAAATTTACTCAAATGTTGAATATCAGCAAATATAACAGATTTAAGCGATGAATCAGCAGTAATTTCAAATAGTACCGATTGAATAGGACTTGTTTCGGACAGACCTTGACGTAGAAACAAGATTGCGATTTCACGTTCTCGAGTAGTCGATAAAAAACCATTTATAGCTATAAATGAACGAACATTTTGTTTAAGTGAATCAATTTCAAATTTGGTGATTCGCTGTCCACGGTATAATATTATTTTGTTGGTACTGGTCAATCGTTCTTGCCTCAATTGCTCAGAAAGGTCACTGATGAAGAAACGAAAACAATATAGATAATCCATATTTCCGGTTCGAAGAGCTGCATTTACAATACGGTGAACAAAATTATTTTTTGTATACCAATAAGCAGCATTTTTGTCCTTTTCATATGTCGTACAAAATGTTTCAATTTCTTTTAAATCAGCTTCGTTGGTTTTGTAGCGTTGTTTACAGATGTCCAACATTTCCTTCATCGCTTGTTCTCTGCGATTAGGAGACGGTCTTAGTACATCGATTAATATTCGAGTCCATAAATACCGAGGAAATTCTGCCTTAAAATCCTGTGCCGACTTTTGATCTTCATCGAAAATTGAAAATGTTGGCTGCTCGAGTTCAAGACGTGTACGATGTTTCACCAATTGTACTAAAGACGCTTGTTGAGTTGGAATAGTGACGACAGTTGTGGCATATTTTCGATGGATACGTTCATCGTAGCGATGATCAGTATAAACAATGAAAATACACAGAACTGTTTCGAATGCATCTATCTGGTGTAAAACGTTGTCAAGGAAAGTTTCATCAATAATTAAAAGTATTTTTGTTTCACCAAAGGTTTTTATATAATTGATACATTCGTTTAAATCAATGAAAGTTTTCTGGTCTTGATTAATTTTTCGTAACTCGTCACGTGTGTTCCGATAATCAGCATTGTTCTCGTTTTTTGCTGTGTTTAACCATATTAGTTTCATACTATTCAAATTATTCATGTTCTACTAAAGCGACTCGATTTTATGATGAAAAATATGCGATATTAAACGATGTACGTACATAGGTAGCTTTATTTTGAAGACGTAAAAAATATCAACAGCAATGGGGAGAAAAAACAGAACTGATAAAGATAAGCAGTTTATATGGAGGGCCACTGTGGAGGACTAAACCGATAGCGAACAAAAAGGAAACAGCATGTAACATATCGCCATCTCCTAAGAATTTCGATTTTATTAGACCGACGATCACGTTGATTTCGAGAAAAGATTTAGTATTTCGACATCGGTTCAGAGATTAAGTGTTGAGATTCCCTCGACTGTAAAGAGAGTCATATGAAAAAAAATATTTTGTGCGTTTGTTTCTATATTTATGGTGGGTGTGGGTGATAAATCCAGTGCAAACCGTCACCCACACTCACACCCTCAATTCATTATTCACTGTCTACATTAATAACATTACATATTTCTGAAAAGAAATTATTTCCACCAGTTTTATTCTGTTAAGAAAAAGATATTAGGTAATAAACTGATGTACATTCAAAACTACTTTTGAAAAAAAAATGTATCACTCGTATTTTATATTTTATATATAGAAACTTCGATTATTTTAGACCTGCGAAAGAATATACAAAAATCGTAAATATTACTGCTCTATTTTATTTTATTTCTCCTTATTAGTGAAATTAATCAGTTCACCTCTTTAGAAAATAGTGTTATTTTCTGCCGTGAAACATTTCACACATAACCGTTCTCTTTCTCTATGTATCATTGTTTCCACAGCATATAAGACAAGTGATGAATAGTTATTTCGTTCATACACAGTACGTCTATAGATCAGTTTAATGTACATTTTACTGATATTGTTTTTTTATTTTAGATGTCCTGTCTCTGTTTTTTATCAAATCTTTGCTCCTGCTGTCCAAACTCCTCCAACAACAACAACAATGACATTATCCTGACCCAGTTCCGCCCGATCCACGATCCCGCTCCATTCAACACCATCCCCATCATCCAACAGCCACAATCCGTAAGTAAAAATATTTAAACAACTCTGATATATAGTATTGTTCATTTTTCAGCTTACCCAATTCCAGTCCACAACACCACCCCAGTTTGAAGATTCCTGAAGCAATATTCCACGAATTCGACTGTGAAATCGGTTCTGAGTGGAACTGAACGGATCCGTTCAACGGGAATACCACGGAACCGACCATTTCCGTGCTGGATTGTTTGACCTGGGCCCCTTCTAATGGTACCACCAAGGTAAGCATATTATTTAATTTAAATTTTCGAATAGAATTTTTTTAATATTCTATAGATTGGCGAGGAAGTCCAATCCAATACCAACAACTCCGTCTTCAATACCTCGCCAATCAATCCCACATCCCAACCATTTTCCGGAGAGGCGGCAATATGATCCCACTCCCTCCGTCGTCAACAACTTCTTTCCTTATTCTCCACGACCACTACGAACATAATTTAATTTTTTTGTTTTTTTTTGTTTTTCGATTGTTGTTTTCATCGAATTTAATTGTACATTCATTAAAATAATAAAATAAGTTGTTGTTGTATAAATTAATATTTTTTATTACTCTGATTAATTCTGAAAAACTTAAAAGAAAGATATTCTAATTACCGAAGATATTGTTAGCTCTCATATGTATAGGGCTATATAGCAAGCAGTGTCACTGATATTATGTGACAGAACGTAAGAAAAAGATGTTCCTCGTGGAACTCGAACCATTTACCGTTTACTATCTGGGCAAATTTTCTAAGCCAGTTAGATTAGAAGGAACAACTTTATCTTCATTTAGCGCCCAAGTGTATTATCTTGGACGTTAACAAATATTCGTTTACATCTTGCAAAAAATCCATCCCTTAATATTGAAGAATTTCGTAAACGATGTAATTTATAAACTAATAAATATATATATCCATTTTTAATCTTGATTAATTGTTTAGATTTTATTTTACTTTATTTAATAAATAGAATCTGAAAGTTTATAAATATGATTTTTACTGTACATGAACTAACGTTCTATAGTCGTTTGATCATAATAGAAATTGCTCAGTTAATGCAAAAATCCATTTAATTTATAAATATCAATAAAAATATTCAAATTTCATCGATGTAAAGATACATAAATAAACGAATATAGAATAGATATAAAAAACGGAATAAAATTTCAACTATATCGTTTTCTTTTCTCATCGATTGACATTATTTTTCCTGATGATAATGATAGTGATTTGCAATATTTTAAACGCATAGTCATGCTGACAACATGCTTGTATATGTCGTTTTCAAAATAATCATGTGCAAAACACAATGAGGCAGAAAATACCTATATTATTATATGAAGGAAAGAAGAAGTGATATATCTATATCATTAATTATCTATACGACCATAATAACACATTTCGATTTTTACATTTATACTATTTTATTTAAGTCAGCGACTTTCAAATATATTAACAAATCTAATTACTTAAATAACAGTTATTTTTTTATATTGAAAATAATACATTATGTTATTTATTGAAAAAAAAAAACGAAGAATACCTTCACAAGCACTTATCATTTGTTTTTCTCACAATATCGATGATTGTTAATGACTGGTTAAAAATATATTTCAAAATAAGTCTGTTTCCATTCAATATATGTAAGTTAAAAATTTAATTAATGGAGAGTTACTTGCAGATTTTGGAATAAAAGAAAATGATCTGTTGTTAGATATTTTTATTTAAATTTTTTTTAAAATAATCACATCAGCCTCATGTAATTGTTCTAAATCACTTATAGTTGTAGATAAATCAAGTGGAATTTGCTCTCGTTCTAATAAAATCAATCGATTTGCTGGCAATAATTTTAATTCTTTTGTTAAATAATCAAGTCCTTTTCCTAATGGCCAAAGTTTTGAAAGATAAAATGGGTAACGTTTATTATTTCCATCATTATTATCATCGACTTGTACAAATAAATGAAGACGATTTTCCATTGGTACACCTGTTGGTCCTTTAGCTGTTTGTTTTAATTTCATGATTGCAACTTTATTAGCTAAAGCTTCATTTTTTGTTCCAAGAAATTTTTCTGTTGGAAAATTATTTACTGGTTTTATTTCATTTTTATTTGTTTGAGATGAATAATGTGTTGGTGGTTGTTGTTGAGAACGATGTGGACATTCGTGATCATCAATATGACGATGTTCAACACAAAAGTTTTTTAAACATAATGAACATGTAAAACTAATTGGACCTTTTTGATTTTTACAACCATTAACAAAAGCACACGGAAGAAATGATGAACATGTCGATGAATTTAATAAATTTGTTTGTTGTAATGATATACATGAATGATCAGGTGCTGATCCATGTCGTTTACAAAATGTTTTAGAACAATGAATACAATGAACAGGTAGAAAATCAAGTGTATTACATTCTGGATATTGACAATGAGTACCTAATAATTCAACCATAATGAAAAATAATAAAATACATACATACATTTAGCTCTTCTATTTTATTATTGGAGAATAAAGAACGAATAAGATGAAAGATGTATTTTGTATATCTTCGACTGAATTAATCATTCTTTCTTTGTTTGAAAAAAATATTTATTTGTTCAAATAATGGAAATAGCTGAAGAAGAACACGAACAAGCTATTGTGACTTCAAGTTCATCACCTAATTCAGTTATTGACATCCTTGATAGTATGTTATTTATTTATTTTCTTTTTGAAATTAATATCAATGTTTATTTGTTTTTTTTCAATTTAGAATATCTTGAAAAATCAGAAAATGAACGAATCTTAACATCTGAATTAGAACAAATTCTTATTCAAATTGCTAAAACCGGTTATTCAAGGTAAACTTGTTGGTTTTTATTAATCTTCGAATTCATTATTTTTTTATACTATTAGTTATCCATGGGAAAAAATCAAACCATTATTTCTACAAAAATTAACAATTGTTCTTGATGAATTTAATACAGAATCAAGTATGGATAAATTAGATGTTCATCCAAATGTTGATCGATCAACATTTGAAGAATTGAAAAGTGATATTATTGAAAGAATTAATTCATTTGAAAAGTATTATTTAAAAATTGTTTGTAAACTATAGTATTATATATATATGTATTCATAGTGCTCCATTTACAATTCAACGTTTATGTGAATTAATACTTTCACCACGAGCACATTATAGAAGAACAGATAAATTTGTTCGTGGTTTAACAAAATGTGTTTCAGTAGTAACAACAATTGACAATGAAGGAAAGTATGTTGATTTGTTTGAATGCAAAAGTAAATTATCTATAATTAATACTATTATTCAAAAGTTTATCAGGTTAAAGTTTTCTTACTGAAAAATGATATTATTTTATTGAGACTAACTAAGATAAGAAGATTTAGTTTTACAACATTGACAAATTATTTCTAATATTAACTAATGCTTGAGAATGTACAAAATATCATCATCAGTTAAGTACTTGAAGTATTTATTTATGTATTTTCAAGTACATAAATATGTAATTGTAATTTTTGTTTTAGTAAAATTTATATTGAACCAGCTCGAAATGGATTAACATCATCAACAATAATGGATTCATCTGAAACACCTTCAAATTCTCAAATAACAAATGGTTTTGCTATTCCACATAATGTTAGTGATAATGATTCAATAATATTAGAAAGTCAAGAAACTCAAGCTGGTTCAACAACACATACACAATTAGATGATGATATGGGTCAAGATAATAATGATGATGAACAAGATGACGAAGACGAAGAAGATGAAGAAGAAGATAAACCATCATCATCATCATCACCACAAACAAATCTTACTGATGAAAATAGCAGTTCAAGTAATAGCAATTCAACACCATTACCTTCATCATCAACAGAAGATATGCTTGAACAATAAAGAAATGTTAAATCTATTTTTTTTCGTTCTTTCTTTTTGTACATACCAATATATATGTTTCAAAACACCAAGAAAACCAAATTTGTGAAAGTCATTATTATCTATTGTTGTTTATTTTCTTTTCCATTAAATAAACACGAAAAAGTCTTTTTTTTAAATCATTCTTATTAACCAAAAGAGAAAATATAGTAAAATTCATACTTAAATGAATATGATTGGTGCATTGAGTATTTGTCAGAACTGCCATCCATCCTTTCAATAGAAGCTGGAATCATAACAACCAATTGTAAATCATTCGTGTTGTTTTCTTCTGTTCTGTCAGATGACATAGTTGTGCGAAACATACTTATTGAACTGATAGATTTAAAAATAAACAATTCTATATATAAATTTAAATCTTTTTATTTAGAACATAATAAAATGTCTTCATCATCATCAGATCGTGAAGCTTCATCTTCAAAAGCAAATGAAGAAAAAGTTAATGTTGAAAATTTAAATAAACCAAAACAAGTTACTGTTGATGAATCAAAAAAACAATCCGATCAAGATATTCGTAAACTTGAACATGCACCTGAATTATCTCGTACAGCTATACATGAATATGAACTTGAAAGTAATCAAGTAGCATTATCAACATCAGATGAAAATATTCTTATTTATGATACAACAAAATTTATTCTTTTTAATAATAAATTTGAACAAATCAAAGAACTTGAATGGAAAGAATATGATTCATCTGGTATATTAACAATTGATGATTTAACTTATTTATCTTGTGAAAATTCTTATCTTATATTAACACGTAGTTATATCTATGAATTAAATATTGATTCATTTACTATGAAATTAATTAAAGGATTTAGTAAAAAAGATAAATCTGATGAAGAAAAAATTGAATTTGCATCTATAACTGCTCATAATGAACATATATTCGTTGCATATACAGATGCATTAGCAGTTTCAAAATGGTCATGGAAACCAACAGTACAATTAGTTAATCGTTGGACAAAAACTAAATTTGTTGAAGAAACAGATAAAAATATTTTAGCAATTCGTACAGATGGCACACATGTTGGTTTACTTATTAAAGGTGATACAACACGTTTAGAAGTTTTTGATTATAATTTAGCAACACGTATTGTACATCATCTTGAATTAAGTCAAACAGCTATTATGTTAACAGCATTAGGAAATAATCAATGGCTTGTTATTGATAGTGAACAACATGAATTATTACTTATTAATGAAGATAATCAAATAAAGAAAACACAAAATAAAGATAGTTCACCATTGAATGCTAGTCGTTTAGCAAATGATCATCTTGTTGTTAAATGTCAAAAACCAAATAAACTTCAAATATTTAAATTAGATTAAAATATTGTAAATAGACATTTAATCTGACTTTTTAATTTTTATTTATAAATTAAACGAGCTTGAATAAAAATGACTTTGCAAATATCCAAACATCATACACAAAAAAGAAAAAAAAAGGGGAACAGAAAATTATTTATTTTGAATGTTCAATTTGAATTTGACGATCTTTTGGTTCAGCTCTAGGTAATGGTGCTTCAATTGAAAGAATACCATTCTCTGTATATGTTGATTTTAAATCATCGACCTTGAGATCTTGTGGTAATGTATATGATTGACTAAATTCATGTAGAGAATAACTATTATCAGCCTAGAATTAAAATATATAAATAATTTGAAATAAATAAATAAATTTTATTCATACTTTATTTTCTTTCTTAGCTGAAATAGTTAATGTACCATTTTGTGTTTTAATTTTAACTTGTTCAGGTTCAAAACCGCGTACATCAAATGCAAGTTGAAATTTTCTTGATCCATCTGATTCAGTAACAATCATATGATTTTCTAAATAAAATAATATAGAATTGTTTAATAAAGACAAAAATATATATATTTACCATTCGTACTATCACGTGAATAATTAGCTAATGAACGATTATCATTAGTATTAATATTATTATTATTATTACTACCACGAAAATAATTATCAAATTGTCGTTGCATACGTTCAAATTCTTTCTCTAAATCTCGAAAGACATTTGATGATGAACCAAGAAATACATCAGGTAAATTTCTTGGATTGCGATAGAAAAAATGACGTATTGAACCATTTGTGTTGCCTATTGTTGATAGACGACTAAGACTATTTGGTGCAACAAGTCGTAAAATAAGACGAGATGAAGCCATTATGAAATGTGTGTATTGCTAGAATCAATCTGTAAATGAATAAACAATAGTCAGAACAGGACTAGTTTATATATATATATATCATATCGATCACTATTATAGATTATTCGAGAATTTTCTCTAATATTCAGGTACATAGCAGATTATTCCTTCAGTAATAATGGCATGCATTTAGGTATCGATGAGAGAACGAAAAAGAGTCTTCGTGAATTTTATCTATGAGAAAAAAAACTGTAGAAGAAGTGCATTTTATGTCGCTCGAAGACGGCGGCTATCGCATCAAATAAATGATGCATTGTATATAACGTTCCGGATTCATCGAGAAGAAAAAAAGAGGTCGCTAAAATTCTTATCAATATTTTTTGTTATATAAATTTTTGACAGTGTATTTTATTAATCGAGTTTCACTCATCTGTTTTTAATATAAAGAAATAGAAAATTTAATAAGAAAGAAAATATTTTTAAGCATGAATATGATTTAAATTATAAACTTTTACAAGAAAATATATGATTAATCGTTATTCGATTGAATACGTTTAACAGAAACACCAAAGTTTTGTTTTTTATCTTTTTTTCTTCGTTGTTGTCGAGTTTGTTTTGGAGCATCAATAACTTGTACAAATTCTTCTATTGATGATGATTCTGATTGATTAGCAATTTCTTCAACATATTCATGTTGGGATTGTTGTTGAACAAGTCGACGTGGTCGTTTTTCTTCCACAACTTCATATTGTGGTTGTTGTTGTCGAACGACTCGACGTGGTCGTTTTTCTTCAACAATTTCATATTCTGGTTGCTGTTGTTGAATAATTCGACGTGGTCGTTTTTCTTCAATAATTTCATATTCTGGTTGTTGTTCTTCAACATCAATATACTCAACACGAGTTCGTGGTTGTTTTGTTTCAATAACTTCAACAACAGGTGCTTGTTGAGAAGCTATTTGAATTATTCGTGGTTGAACTTCTCTTTTTACTGGAGCAACAACTTGATAAATAATTTGTGGTACTTGTAATGATTCTTCAATATCTTGTGGTAATACTTGAATAAAACGAGAAACCATATCTGGTGGAATTAATGGACGATACATTATTCCACCATAAGAATTCATTGATGGCCATACACCACGATCAAAATCTTTTGGACGTACCGTAGCAATCGTTGATTCTGTATTTGTTTGTTTATCAGTAACCTGAACAGTTGGATAAGAAATTGATCCTGGTGTTGAAACATCCTGAACCATACCAGATGGTATTGATGATCCTTCAGTTGGACGGTTAAATTTATAGATTTTTCTTAAAACAGCTTTTTGTCGTTCATTTCCATCGGCATCATATGTTGCTGATGGATCATCTGGATCAATATCTTCATCTTTATTAAACATATAACCATATTTAAAACAACAAATAAATACAATTAATGTAACAATTATTGTTATGATTATTATAGTGCAAACAACCATACCTAAAATTTTCCATTGAGCATCAGTTACATTATCTGAAAATAATAATATGAACATATTAGTAGGTAAGACAAAAAACAAAAGAACTTTCGTTCTTTTACCTTGGCTATATGTAACAATTGAAGCTATAAGACCAGCGAATGATGCAGTACCAAGTATTATCATAGATCCAAATAAAAGTCCACCACTTAAACGTTTCAATCCTAAACATAATGGTTGAGAAAGCCATAGAGCCTGAAACAGATAATTATTTTAGTTTTTAACTAAATATTTCACTAATATTCGTACTAATTTGCTTTTTGGTGCTGATTCATCATCGATTATTTTCTCTCCATCTTCATTATCAACAGCAACATTAAGTCGATTTTTAACAACACCCTCTATAAATTATTTCAATTAAGATTTTTATTATAATGATATTAATGAACATACCAATACGACCATTTTGTTGATTGTATAGGGCAAATGATTTATGTCTATCAAATGATTTATGCGGATCAATTGAATTTGTTATCGATTTTTGTTTTGATTTTCTTTTGTTGATTTTTGATTGATCAATATAATTATATGCTTGCTGTTGGTATCCATTGCTTGTTTGAATAAGTGGATTTGTTGACATTAATGATGATGAACGTCCAATGGCTACAGAAAAAAGATACAAATAATTTACTGAAAGAAAAACAGATCAATTGAAAATTATACATACATTCATATTGTAAATTTTGATTTATCATTTGTCTATTGTAATTAGAAGGAAGTGGTGGTGCGACTTTATTATTCTTAAAAGATATGTTATTAGCTATTGTAGGAGGTTGATAATGTGATATAGTAGGATGAGATGATTGCTCTGGCTGTGAAGGTCTTATCATCATTGAATTTTTTTGTGGTGGCTGAGAAGGTCTGGCCATCATGGAGATTTGTTGTGGTGGTTGAGATTGTCTGGTCTTTATGGAGATCTGTGGCTGTTGCTGTGAAGGTTGAGTAGTCATTAGAAATTTTTGTTGCTGCTGTTGAGATATAGGTACGAATGAGAAACCTGATAGTGCTTGATATTCGTCTGTTGTCTGTTGATCAAATATCTCTATAAAGAAAAACGTTAATTTTGATTAATTATTACTATCAAAATTTTAAGCTTTTAATCAAAATAGCTAGAGTTCTGTGACCTTCATTATCTGATAGTAGTTTTTATTTACCTGGTGTATAAAAAATTGGTTCAGGAGTAGGTGCAGTTAATTCATGAATACGACTGCGTAACTTTTCCTTGATACTAATTGAAGGTTCTTTTAGTTCTTTCGGTTCTTTCGGTGGTTTAACAGGCTTTACACGTGAATCATATACAACAGGATTTGGTGATGGTGTTCGTTGAACAACTGGTTGAATAACTGGTGATTCTTCTGGTGTTGATGGTGGAGAAGGTGTGGGTGGCACCTAGAAAGACATTGTAACAATAACAAAAACTTGTTCTAAAAGAAGTCTTTTTATTTTTCATAGGTAGTTCGTACGAATACTACAGTCATTTTCCAGATTGTATTTTAGTCTTATTTAGGTACATGTTCGTTACTTAAAGGTAGCACTTGATGAAAAATATTGTGAATATGTTGCTAGGGAGTGGTTTCATTATAGATGCAGAATATGTCTTTTTTATTTTTTACAAAACACGTCGTAGTTAATAAAAAATGGATTGACATTTTTGCATTACTCGTTATATCATTTGATGAATTCTTTCTTCTATTTAGATACGTAAAAAGGAAAATTGAATACTTGTAGTATTTAATCAATATAAAAGAAGCACATAAAGTCATTCTTGTCATACTTAAACAATACAAAAAAAATTGATTATTTTCTTTGTTTTGATTTGAAACAGAACAAATAAATTTGAAATATAATCTATTTATTTTAATCAAATTTTGTTCGTAGTAATATAATGAAAGAATATTTAATAAAGTTTCAACTTACAAGATCAGGTCGAAATTGTCGATTTAATTGTTCATTAAGTTGTCTGACAGGATCGACTACTGGTGATGGTTCTCGTACATTTATTGTGATAGATTTTGAAGGAGGAGCTTTTCGTTTTCGAAAATCAAGTTTATGATTGTCTATTTCTTCGTAATATTCAATTGCTCGATCAGCATCATCTACGATTGTTGAGCTATCGCGTGCCGCCATTCTGTAAGTATTCACATTACTGCTCGTACGTTATAAAAAATATATGATTGAAATCAATAAAACGCAAAATTACATATGTGATCATGATATTGTAAGTTTTCATAGCAATAATAAGAAAAAACAAAAGATATGATTAGAAGAAAAAAGAAATCAATAAATAAGAAATCTTGATGAAAAAAAAATCGAATTGAATATTAACATGTAATGTACCCATTCACTATTCAGAGTTATCAATCTATATTTTAGTATCTTATAATTCATTATTTTATATTTTAATAGTTTCATTCTTTATTATGTTTTAATTGTCAATGAATTTGAATAAAAAAAAATGAATAAATTAATTGTATAAAACCTATATTTCTACGTTTTTATTTTATGAAAAAATATGAACAATTTTTTATAAGAGAGAAATGAAATAAAAACGAAATGTTATTAATATAAATATGATATGTTGTTTTTCTATTGCTATTTTCTTCCAGCTTCGACAACAACAGGTGGATAATTACAAACACTTATTTTTGGATCGAAAATAGTACCAGGAGCACATCTACGAATCCAAAATACGCCAGTTTGATCACATTGAATAAATCGTGTTGCATCAGGATAATAAGGAAAATAATATTGACCATAAATACCACATGGATTTTGAACTAAAAATATTCGAAATACGTATTATTTTATTTAATAAGTAACGAAATAAAGTATAATTTCAATGAATCAAGTAAAAAAGAGAATCCTTAAAATTTATATGTAGTATTTCGATTAATAAAAATATATATAACATACTTCCACTACAATCATTTGTATTACATCCACATTGCCATTGACCTGATAATTGTGAACAAGTAGCACCTTTTGGACAAAGACCTGTCGGACATCCATTAGCCGCACCAACACCAGCCAATGGAGCGTTAACACTTGCAACGGGCGCTGCTACAGTCTCAAGTTGACCACCGGCAACTGAAGGCCATAAATTAGGGAAATTGTACCAATTAACATTTTGATATGGATATGGATAATAATATCCTAAACTAAAGTATATAACTTTTCAATTGAAATTACTTTAATTTTACCTCGAGGATCATTATTAGCAGGTTGTTGTGGTTGTTCTGGCAAGTAACTTGGTTGACCTGGTTGCTGTTCAGGAACATAACTTGGTTGAGCTGGTTGTTGCACGGGAAGATAATTTGCTTGAACTAGTTGTGGCTCAGGAACATAACTTGTTTGAACTGGTTGTTGTTGTTGTTGTTGTTGTGGATGTTCTTGAAGTTGCTGTTGATTCACTGATTGCTGCTCTAAAAGCTGTTGTTGATAAATTTGTTGTTGCTGATCGAGATATTGTTGCTGCTGCTGCTGCTGTTGTTGTTGTTGTTGTTGTTGTTGTTGATTTAATAACTGTTGCTGATAGTATTGTTGCTGTTGATCTGAAATCTGTTGTTGTTGTTGTTGTTGCTGATATGTTTGCTGTAAATGTTGTCGAATTTGTTGAAATGGTGCTAATTGTTGTTCATTTTGAGATGTAAGAGCTTCACTCAATGCTTCAATCATTCGATTTGTTAAAACAGTATCCGTAAAATTGATCGGTGGTAATGAATAAACATTATTACTAACAAATATAACAATACTTATGAATAATAATGCAAACGTTTTCATTATTGTTGTTTATGATAGAGTTAATTTTATTGCGAATTTGTAAAATCAAACGATCATTTGAAATTTTCATCGAATATTTATATATGATTAACATGTTTCTTTTTTGAACTACGCCTTCTTAATCGAAGGTCTTCTTACATTTTTTTCTCTTATTGTCCTCGTTGAAGAGAAAAGTCATGACTATGTCTTCTGAATGCATGTCTATATATGTTTGGATTATCAAACTTTGTCAACGAAGAATGTTATGACGTTTATAGGTGAATATAAATGTACGTTCAAAATCGGCCTATAATAAGGATTAACAAAAAAGTAAACGAAAGAATGTTCAAGTGAAGCATTAAATATCGTAGAATATAGTGTAATACTGCTAACCTTTGATAATTATAATGCATAGACTTAAGTTTTTTATATTGAGACGTTATCGATATAATTGATGAAAGTAAAATAAATAAATAAACAATTAAATTTTTCATGGACAATATATGATCATGAAATGAAAAAATGCTAGTTAAGTATAATCATAGATTTCAAGGATACAATGAAATGTGAAGGTTTGAAAAATTAGACTTTCATTTAACTGTATTGAAGATTATAAATTCAAAAAAAAATACAAATGTTTTTTCTCCATCCTTTAATTAAATAAAAAAAGTATGAAAAGAATAAATACAATTGATTTATTTGTTATTGTTTGTATTTTCGAACCATCACACGTTAATCGACTACCATCAGCTGTTTTCATATGAATCACACAATAATCCTCATTTTCATATCGACATAAAAGTCTTGCTTGTCCACCAAAATAAAGTCCTGAACATACCTTATTATTATTGAGAACAAAATAAATAGAACCATCACGATAGCATGTACCTCTAGTTATTTGTTTTTCATATTGGATAGTAATCGATGTAAAAGGCCAATGATGACTAATTAGGTAAGGACCTTGAGGAACATATAATGAAGATGATGAACAATTGACTGTATCCAAATAATGCGTACCAGTTATATCCGCAAGACATTTAGGAATGATACAAGAAAAGATAAAGAAAACTAATAAATTTGTCATTTCATAAAACTAACGTCATTACATCAGATTTCAGTACATATATATATTTGAAATATTGACAAAACTTTCGACTTCTACATATTGAAATAAGAGATGGGAGAAACCTGATAGTTAGACTTTTTTTGTACGTCAACAGAAATTTGCATATTTCAATTTATAAAGAAAAAGCATTGATTGAATTAAATCGGTTACGAAAATTAGAATCAGATAAACTTCTAGTTAAGTGTCATTTCATTTCTTTATTTATGTTATGTAATAAAATCGACAATGAATAATCCGATATGCTGAATCACTGAAAGAAAACAATGCTTACAAAAATGAATTTTGTCAAATGAAAATCCATATGTTTGTCTTATTACAAAAAAAGAAAAGTATAGAGAATATGTTTTGTTTTTCGTTGATTTATTTTCTATCTATAATTTAAAAACAACAGTATATGTATGTTTTGCCTTCTTCGTTTTCTTCTTTTTTTACTCAAATAGCAGTTTTTTTTGTATGCATGCATTAAACAAGGATAAAAGTAATGATAGATAAAAAAAAAGAAAGAAAAGAGACAGAATAAAACAGGTCTATCACAAATAAAAATATCGGACCGACCGGAAAAAAAGAAAGCAAAAAATAAATCATCGCATATAACAGAGTAATAACTCAGAAAGTAGATAGTGATGAACTGTTCACTCACACACACGCACACAATTGAAGACAAAATGTTATCCGTTTTGTTGAATCTTATTCCACACATGTACATAACAAAAAAGGAGTTTTTTTTGTTTTGCTTTTTTTAAAAAAAGAAACGAACGATAAAAATTCAATGTGTTCTGTTGGGCTTTATGTTTTGTTTTGTTTTGTTTTTCTTTTAAAATATGTACATATAGTTGTTTGGGTTTTTTTTGTTTTTTTTGATTAAAAAATTAATTTTTCTTTTTACGACGTAATTGAAGTCGTTTAGCAATTGATCGTTGTCGTTTTTGTTGATAAGTAAGAGTATTTGTAGTATTATTTGAACCTGGAATAGTACCACTATTACTTTGTTTATCACTACTTGTTTGAGATTGTTGATCTTCAAGTGAATGATCACCACCACATCGTTTACATTTCGTATTTGTTGATTGTCCAGGTACGGATGGAGCTTGTTGTTCCATTCGAGTATCATCATTTTCATCACTTGAATTATCTTCTTCACATGAACTTGATCCCGGTGGACAAGGATGAGTCTAGAAATATGAAAATATTTTTCTGTAGAATTTCATTTGTTTGTCTTAAAAAGAAAAATATGAAATAAAACCTCATCATCTTCATCTTCATCATCATCTTCATCATCATCATCATCATCTTCGTCATCATCATCATCATCATCTTCATCGTCATCAAGATCATCTTGTTCAACCTCAAGTTCTTTAGCTGGTGATGTCATATCATTAATATTAATATGTTTATCAATATTTCCATTAGTTTTAGCTGTTTGTGTTTGAGCAGAAGAATTCAAACTATTATTATTTGCATTATTTGATGCATTTGTTGATTTTGATTTTGAATTTGATAAACGAAGACATGCATTTGCCTAGAAAAACAAAAAAACCATCTATGAAAATATTTCATAGAAATCTATTTCGAATAATATTAACCTTAAAACCTAAAGCTTTAACAATTTCTTTAATTGGTGCACGTAATTGATCAAAATTAGGCATATCATCACTATTTAATTGATAAACAGTTGACATATAATCACAAATAGCACGTAAAGTAACAGGTGAAATTAATTTCATAAAGAAACATTTTTTAACAAATTCATTAACATTTGATTTTGCTAATTTCTTTTCATTTGGTATTGTATCACGTTGAAATTTAAAATGTATATTCTTATTTTTCTTATCCCATGGTAATCGTCCACCAGACCAAACAATTAAATTATAACCAAGCATTTCTAAATCACCACGATATGTTTGTTTATTATTTAAATGCATATCAAGTGATGAATAAACACTAAATGGATGATAATATTGATTAGAATTTATTAGAAAATTATCTTCTTCAATTATTGGACTTGGAATATCAACGACATGTAATGATGGAACAACTGATGATGTTTTATTATGTATAGCAGCTAATTGTGTACGATGTGAACGTTTGACTTTTTTTTTAACTTGAAAATTTTGTTGTTTTATATGTTGATTTTCACTATTTATCCTTACACGATTTTCATTTGGGACTTCATCTAAGATTAAAATCAAATAATATATATATATATAGTAATTCTTGTTTTCGAGTCTCAACATTTCCGCTGCAGTACAAAAAATAAATGTAAAATAATGAACCCCACAATACGGTATATGAATGTATCAAATTATAATACACTCTTGGAGAAACTTCGACTATGGACTAGTGAACTGCGAAACCTGATGATACATTCTAAGAATTTTTTATGAAAACTTGATAAAGAATCTAGCATACTTATGAATCCTTTTTTGTAGAGTTGATTATTTTTCATTCATTTTTTTACCGTGCAGCGAGTAACTGTCCTATATCCCTTCTTGTATTCAAATGAAGAGCTCAATATAAGAATAAGAAATATTTACTTGATGTAGTATTTGTATCATGAATACTTTTAACAGTTCGAAATTGTGTTAAAAAAATAAAATATGGTTGTTTATTAGCAAACATCATGTATTTTGGTTTAATAATTTGATGAACATAATTTTTTTCATGTATAAATTGTATAACATATAACATTTGTAGAAAAAGATTTAATGCATTATGTTCTGGTAAAGATTGATCATAAGAATAAATAAGTGAACGAAGATTTTCACGATATTGTTCCATAATTAAAAATTTATAGGTTAAATTTATATGTTTATATGTTCCATGTGATATATATTCTGGTATAGCAATATACATTAAATTATGTCGTTTTATATAGGATTTTAATTTATCATGTGTTGCAAAACGAGAATAAAAAGCTATTTCATGATCAATTGTATATTGTTTTGTTGTTGATGAAGTATTTAATTCAAGTTTAAGTAAATATTTTATTGTTGAAGATTCAATAGATGATGTTGAAGAAGAATTTTCTCCGTCATCATTTATTGTTTCTTGTATATCATATTGAGAATTTCCAGGTTTTTTTGTTATAATAAATTTATGTGTATCTCCAGTTGTTTTATTATTTAATATTAAATTTTTTCTCCGAAGATCTTTTAATTTTTCAATTTCTTTTTTAAGAATTTGTTGAAGTAATTCAGATGGATTAACAATCGTATTAGATTTTTTTTTATCTTGTATAAATATCATTTCAATCGAATATTTATTTATTTTATTTTCATCATATGTATCATCATCTTTTAGAAATTCAACGATACCATGAATTATTTTATTGGAATGTTGCTCATTTGTTGATGTAGATAGGGATTTATTTATTAAGGAATTTTTAGTTGTTGATGCTGTTTGTCTAAAATAAAAAATAAAATTTTAATCAAAACAAAAAAAAAGGTTAATATCTATTTTACTTCTCATTATTTGCTATAATTAAATCAATTTCTTTATTTGTATCTCCAATAACAGCTCCATAAAAAACATAATCAAGTTTATCATTCTTAGCACGTGCTTTATCAATAACTGCTTGTCTTGATTGTTTTAATTTATCAGTTAAATACATTAATGGTGAGATTTTTGTTTTAACTATATTTTGCTGTTGAATATCTTCGGATATTTTCATTTCATTTATTGCTAATGATCTTTTAACTTGACTACATAAATAAATAAATCTTTCATTATGATGGGATATTTTAACACATTGATGTATCATCCAAAGATTATTATTAACATCACGTATTAATGTACCCTGAGGAATAATATGAGCAGATGTAGGGATTTTACGTTTTTGACAAGACTTTGATAAATTTGTTAGAGATGTTTCAATAAGAGATAAATCAGAGTCAGATGATGATGTTGAATTTATATCATCATAATCACTATCAGATGATGAGGATGATGAACGAGAACGAACAACCGGTTTTATCGCCTCTATTTTCACCATCTAGAAAAGAAAAAGAAAAACATAATAATAACAAAAAAAGAAAAAAAACAAACAAAAAAAATCTATTTCAACAAAGCAATGAATAAAAGTGACGAATGGATATTGTTCTTTTTAAAAGTCATATAGACAGATAACAAGAGATTAAATAGCTTGGCTAAAAGAAGAGAAACCAAAAACCGGAATAGAAGAAAAAAAAACGATGAATTTATTAATAAGGTCGTCGACCACCACGTCCACCTCGTCCTCCTCCGCGACCACGTCCACCATAATTTGTTCCATAATCCATTCCAGCATATTCATTTACAATTTGTTGTTGACCTTGATAACCCATTTGTGGATATTGTTGCATAGAAGGATCCATCATACCATACTGCATTTGTTGATAACCACCACCACCACCACCACCAGAATAAGGTCTTTCATTAAAATTACCTCCTCCACCACGTCCTGACCATCCGCCACCACCACCTCCTCGTTGACCTATAAAAAAATTTAAAATGCAAAAAGTAGAACAAATTCATTGTATAATATTATTTATACCATTAAAATTATTTCGTTGTTCATGATGTTGATGTTGATGACCACCACCGCCACCACCACGACGTCCACCACCAGCGTGATGTGCTGAACCTCCTCGTTGAAATGATGGCATGTCAGGAGGTGGGGCGCTTAATTCTGTTGTTCGTCCACCACGATCAGGTACCTATATATAGATCAACAAACATTCTTATCTTCCTCCGCTTAGAAAACAAGAAAAAGAAAATATTTTCTCGTATAGAAACATTCTTATAATTATGATTCATAGAAAATGAATTTTTTTTTCTTACTTTAGGAATAAGAATTTTATGAAGTTTTGATCGTGTTAATGCCATTTCTTTTGTACCACATGTTTTCTCCATATGACATAAATCTTTAATAGAAAATAAATAAATCAAAATTTTCGAAAATAATAATTTTCTTTTACCATCACGAGCAGCCATAATATCTTCAATTTTTACATTTGGTTCAGCTGATAGAGCTTTACGTTTACTCATAAAAGCATTAGAAATTTCATCGTTTTTATCCTATATAAAAATTTCGAATTTCTTTAATTATTATTAAAAATCCTTTACCTTTAATCGATCAGCCCATTTAAATGATTGAATTGTAACATCAAGACGTTTTAATAATAATTCTCGTCGTGTTTTATAATCTCCATATAAGATTTTATTTATTTTATGTATCTGATTCCATTGATTTTCTGACATATTTGTGTGTAATAATGGTTGACCCATATATTTTGGTGATAAAGTTTTTAATAATTCGCTAACTTTAGTATGAACTTTTGTACAAACTTGTGCTGCTGTTATACCAGCAGGTGGTCGAGGAAAGCCAAGTGCCATAAGTAAGGCTTTTAAATCTCGAGCTTCATCACTTTCATACTGCTGAATAAATCAATACAAAGAAAAATACATTTAAATTTAGTTAGTAATATAATACAATTTCAAAAAACCTTTTTGTTCGTTGAAGTATCTGTTCCATTCGTTATTATATCTCTTTTGAAAGATTTATTCATTTTCGCAGCTTGAATTTCCGTGCAAAGAAAGTCTGTTAAATAGAAAATAGAAAGAAGTTTTTTTTATTGAAATAAAACAAAAATAAACCTAATAATTGTATCCGTGATAAACGATCATTTAATCTATTTTCATTATCAAGAAGATTTCGATAAGGACAACCGTAATCTCGAAGAAATCCACCAAGTTCAATTAAAAAATTATTTATATCATTGATCGCTAAATAAAAAAACAGAACAAAAATTTTTTATGAATAGATAAAAATAAAAAACTACTGCACACAATTGATCACTTGAACAAATTCGCCTATCGAATAAAATCCATTTAATTCTTGTGTTAACCATGCAATTAATTTTGTATATGGAAGAAATTGCACAGATTTCAAATTTGAATTAAGAACTTCTTCTAATTTGTTTTCATCCTTTATTTCACCATTATAACTAAGAAAAAATAAATGATAATCAGTTTAATTATGATCTATGTTATACCCAAGCAGACAAGAATTTGGAAAAACGCATTTAAACGTCCAGTCTGAAACCGCGATTATAACCCATTCACGCTCAAAAGAAAAACACCAGAAAACGACGTTTTTGGCGTTTAATTCCCACTCCTGAAGCATGAAAACGGCGAAAAATTCAAAGAATGAGCGTTAGAACGCATTGTTTTTAAGTTTCAGAATAAAAGCACGTTTTAATACTAAAAACTGGGGTTTTTCTTTTGAGCATAAATGGGTCACAATCACGATTTCAGACTCGACGTTTAAACGCGCTTCTCCAAATTCTTGTCTGCTTGGGTAGTCTGAAAGTTTCGATATTCTAAAAATTTCACTTCTACATTATATAATCTCATCAGAAGCTCTACAAATTTCAAATGCACTCTATGAGAGTCATATTTATCTAAAAGATCAGTTTATTAATCCAGTCAATATGAATAGAAAAATACATTATTTACAATATAGTCTTCTCCGTATTGATAATGAACGAATTTTATTACATATTCTCAATAGTATTAGATTTAGATTGAAGCATAGAAATAGTAAAATTGAATCAAACTTAATTCAGTTCAACTGACTTGATAGAATTTTATAATATCACATTGAGAAAATCTTTCTTTACAAAATTTCGATCTATATCGTATTTAATCTTCTGATTTTTAATAACTGTAAAAACAAGAGGACCATTTTAAGGTCCTTACTTTATATCATTGAGTGAATCAAGAATACCAGCTGCCATTTTCTGAAAAGATTTTTTTATAAAAATCTAGAAGAAAAGTAAAAAAAACACTAAAAATAATCATCATAAAAAAGTTTTCTTTTTTAAAAAAACTAATTAGAACAAAAATAATTTTTAGATTGCTCTGGAATATAATATTAAAAAAAATTATTAGATGTAGGTTTAGATTAATGCGGAATTAAAAATGGAAAATATTGTAAAGTCACAGTTTTGCATAATATTTAACGACGAGCAAACCAGTAGAAAAGAGTTGCTCCACCAGCAGCTAATGCTAATTTACCAGCTTGAATACCACTCCATGAAGCTAATAATTTTTTAGCTTTTTCTGATTTAGCATCAAGTGTTAAAAATTTCAATTGTTCAATAGTTGGACTTTCAACAAAAGCACTGTATGGAATACCAGCTAAAATAACAATAAAAATATTCTTAAAAAAATGAATTCAAATTTCTTAACTTACCAAGCATTAAAGCTGAGCCAATAAGCCAATATTTATCTCTTGTTTGATGATATGCTAATGCACCAGAAATTCCACTTATACTTAACATTATATTACTTAATAATTTTGCTCGTTTATGTGCTTCAATTAATTCTGGTACTGCATGTTCACCGGAAATATGCATACGTGCATCTTGATTGACAAATATTTCACCTAGACCACCACCAACACTCATAATTGATGACCATAATGCAAGCTAGGAAATTGAATTTTCTATAGAAAATTGAATTAAATTTATTGATTTAACTTACATGTGCACCTTCAGCTGCAATTTTATCAAAAAAACTAGATTGAATAGCAGACATTTTAGTTAATTAAAAAATCTTTGATCTAATCTGAAAAGTAAAATTGGATGATGTAAGATGAAATGTAAGGATGACTACATCAATATTTCTTGTCCTTCTACGTTTGGACAAGCCTACGACACAACGACGACGACACGACGAGAAAAAAAAAGGGAGGAACATCAATAATGACTCATTTAGAATAAAAACACACTTGTGCATTTTTATTTTCTTATTCATTTAAAATATATATTGGAAAGTTTAAAATTCTTAATTTTAAATAAAATAAAAAACTTTCTTATTTACTTCCGATAAAATCAATAGATGATTTTTCATTGGTCAATATTCTGTTGCTAAGGAACTATACAGTTTAGAATTAACGAATGGTTGATATTCTATAGAATATTATTAGATTGAAATAAGCAGAATCTATTTGATACAATATGACATCTTCACCTAAGGTATGAATATTTATAAATCAATAAAAAAGATTTATCGATTTTATTTAGCGTTTATTTGCGATTAGTCCAGAAGAAATTGGTGATAAACCAAAATTTTCATGGCAAACAGGTCATGGCACACATATCGCTGCTGTTGGGTATGAAAAAAAAATCTTTTTTATTATAAAAAAACTAAAAAATAAATTATATTTAGATCATTAAATGTGATTACTATTCGTAATCGACAAGGCGATGAAATTTCTTCAATACCTTTAAAAGGGTAAATAAATAATATGATTTAGTATTTTTTGATTAATTCGTTTTTAGAGCATGTCTTCAAATGAAATGGGATAAAGATGGAGATACATTAGCAGCAATAACAGAAAAATCAAATATTGTTTATTTATGGAATTCAAGTAGTCAAAAAACGAGTACTATTGATACACAAACAAAGTATTTTAAATTTTCCTTCATAGAATAGTTAGACTGATTTCAAATATATGTTTATAGGGATCATACAACTGTAATAGCATGGTCGAAATCAGCAAATCTTCTTGCTATTGGTACATCTCGTGGTAATGTTATTCTATATGATCAACAGACAGCAAAGTATGATGTATTTTTTTGTTGAGAAAAGAATTATATATTTGTTATTTTTCTGTTAGAAAAGTGCCTTTAATTGGACAACATTCTAGTCGTATAACAACAATGGCATGGAGTAAAGATAATTTATTAGCAATAGGTGCTGAAGATAATCGAATATCAGTTATGTTATCAAATGGTTCGGTTATTCAACGTTGTGATGCTAATGATGTACCAAAAAAAATAAAATTTTCTGAAATGAAACGAGAAAAACGAGGAACTTATGAAGAAAGCACTGTAAGATAATTTATTCATATTTAAATCGAATTTATTTTTCTAATCAATAGGTTAGCGCAATTATTGGCAAAAAAAATTTAGGTTTATGGGTTGTAGCTGATCCAAATAGTAATGCAGCACAAAGTGCAGGTAGTCAATTATTTACACTTAATTTTCAAGATAAATATGGAGATATTATTGATTATGAATGGTAAATTAAATCATATATATTCAATTAATTATTATTTTTTTCGTGTTTATAAATAGGTTTGGTGATGGATATATTATGATAGGATTTAGTGCTGGTTATTTTATTGTTATTTCAACATATCATAAAGAAATTGGTGAAGTAATTAGAATTTAAAAAAAAAGATTTATTTTCCATAAAAAATATTTTAAATATTCTTCTAGGAATTACATAAAACTCGTGAACATAAAGGTTATTTGTCAAGTATAGCTATATCAACAGCATTGAATAAAGCAGCAACTTGTGGTAACGGTGGTATAAAACTTCATGAATTATCTGATCAATATGCAATTGATTCGATAATTACAATTGAAGAAGGAAATGATAATTTAACAGAAATAGGTTTGTTTTGTTTTTTGAATTAATTTTTTTATGAATTAAATTAATTTAGGTTGGAGTGTTGATGGTCAATTATTAGCTGTAGCAAAAAATACTGGAGCTATTTATGTTTATTTAACAAAATTATCTATGTTAGCAAGTGTTTGGCAACAAAAAATAGCTTTTATGACATCATTACATGAAGTATCAATATACGATCATCAAACAAAAACAAAAGTAAGAAAAATGAAATAGTTTGTTTAAATAAAATTATTTTTTGAAATTAAGGTTGATAATGTTCATTTAACAACAGAAATTGAACCAAGTGTATTAGCTATGAGTGATGTTTATATTGCAGTTGGTTTTAATAATCGTGCTTTATATTATCGAATTCAGAGTATCGAAGGTTTGTTTCAAACTAGAGATAGTTCGCAATTGCTATTCCAATTTTTCTTTTTAGAAGTAATTAAAGCATCTGAACATGATTATTTAAGTACCATAACAGAATTACAAATAAATTCTCAATATGCAGCTGCTTTTATGAATGGACGTATTCAATTACATATGGTTTGAAAGAGAAAGAAAACTTTCAGTTTCATTTTATGTATAAAATAAATTTTTTAGATTGAAGAATCTGAAAAACATAGTGAAGAACGTCACGCAATTATGTTTCCATTAGCTGATACAAATGATGGAAAAATACTTTGTTATTGTTTAACAAAAGATTATCTTATTTATGGAACAGATGTATGAAGAAAACTTGCAAATATTTTATTAATTTATTTGAATCTAATTTTAGAAAGGAATTTTAAGTTTTTTTCATATCGATGAATGGCATGTTGTTAATAAATTTGATAAACATAAAACAGGTATCCAAAGATTATTTACAGAAAATTTTGGAACATCTGTTGCATTTATTGATCAAAAAGGTGATGGATATTTATATAACGTTGTAAGTTATTTGTTAGTTTTATTTTCAAAAATCTTTTTTCTTTTTTACAATTTAGTTTTTTGAAAACCCAAATACTATTCAAATACCAAATTTACCATCAGGAACAAAATCAATTCTATGGGAAACAAATTTAGACAATGAGGTATATTAAAAGGCTTTAGGAGTTCTCATAATTCAGTTGTAAAAGGGATGATATAATAATTATTGAGTCAGTCCAAATTTTTGATCAATCTTGTCCTTTAGGTCGATTCAATTAGCTTCTAAAATAAACGCGCTATATCATTTAAGCATATTGTAGTTTAAACGCCTCAATATAGTCACTAGAAGCTATTTTTATACATATGTAATCGCATAATGAAACTGGCGAAATTCGGAAATCTCCTCCATTTTATACGAAGATTAATAAAATCGAGATTTTGATTACTCTTTATTCTATTTTATTTATTTTAGTGGATATTTACTAGTTATGATTCTGAATCAATAACAACATATTCTGTCTATCGTGATTCTTTAAAAGGACCTCAAATTATGTTTGTTGGTACAACACGTTTACAAACATTTGGTTCCGTTCCATTACTTCTCAATGGTGGTCTTCTTCTTTTACTTGATGCAAGCGGAAAAATTGTTCAAACACAATTGGATACATATGGATTCTTACATGAATCTAATGATCAAGAATACACACTTGATGAAGCTATTGATCGATTATCCAAAGCTATTCTTATGAAACGGTATATAATAATTAACATAAAAAGAAAACGAGAAACTATTTTTCTTTTTTTTGTTTAGATATGAAGATGCAATGTTTTGGGCTAAACAACTTAATGATAGTAATGAATGGAATAAATTTGCAACTGCATTACTTTATTCTTTAAATATTGATTATGGTAAAATAAAATTTAATGTTACAGAAATATTTCATTCATATATTTTAGCAATTAAAGTTTTTCGAGAAATTCGTCATCCAGGTATGGTTATGGCACTTGAAGAAATTAAAGTAAAGATATTTTACTTGTTTATATTCAATTAACAAAATTTTGATTTATTGATTTTTTAGCATGTTGAAGATAAAAGTCTTGTTTCTGCACATTTCGCTGCACTTTTTGGTGATTATGATCTTGCACAAGAACTTTTTCTTAAATGTGGTTGTCCACTTGAAGCATTGAATGTAACACAAAAAAATAGTCATTTTCTTTAATAAAATATTTTTTAATTTAGATGCGACGAGATTGTATGCAATTTGAAGCAGCAATGACACTTGCAAAAGCTTATGATCCAGATCAAATACCTTATATATCAGCATCACATGCTGAACAGCTTGAATTTACGTAAGATGAAAAACTCTAGATTAAAAAAAATTTTGTTTGTTTTTTTTTAAAGTGGAGATTCAAGTTCAGCAGTGAAATTCTATGAACAAGGTATAACAAAAAAAGAAAAAGATGCACATCATGATCAAAAATGTTTAGTTGGTCTTGCTCGATGTTATATTAAAGTCGGAGAAATAAAAAAGTAAAAAATGAAAAATTATATTAAATATATTTTATTTTTTAACAGAGGTGTAACAATTGCAACACGTTTACCTGGGAAAGAAATCAAAGAAGAATGTGCAAAATTACTCGAAGCATTAAAACAATGGCCAGAAGCAGCAGAATTATTTGAAAAAGCTGAATGTTGGGATAGCGCAGCTATAGCTTATATTAAAATAAAAAATTGGTAGAATTTTATTTTTATTATTCACATGAATATATTTATTTTATTTATGTATGTTAAGGGTAAAAGTTGGTGACATTCTTCCAAATGTTACTACACCAAAAATTCATTCTATGTATGCTAAAGCACGAGAAAGTGAAGGAAGATATAAAGAAGCTTGTGCCGCTTATATGAAGGCAGGTGAATGGGAAAATGCTATTAGGTAAAATATAGTTTTATTAAATTTCTTCCAAGGGGGAAACAGCGGACTTCAAGAGATTTCGAAGACTTCAGAAGACTTCCAAAACTTCATGCATGAAGAATCTATTGTTTCTCCCTCGTCTCTCCTTGAAACAAATGCATCCGTAGAAATTCCAAAAGACTTCATGAGGTTTCAGGCATGAAGTCTCTGTTGTTAACCCGTTGATCTCTTCATAAAATAGAAGAACTAAACTGTCTATCTCATAAAAAAAATTATTTATTTAGAATTCAACTTAATCAATTAAAATCTCCTGAACAAGCAGTTAAAATTGTTCGTGAAACTCAAAGTGTTGAAGGTGCTAAAATGGTTGCACATTTTTTTGAATCAATTAATGATTATAGTTCTGCAATACAATTTCTTGTTTTATCTAAATGTTATACTGAAGCTTTTACAATGGCACAACAAAATGGTCTGATCGAACTTTATTCTCAAGTTATTGGTAAATATATTAATAATATAAAATAAATCAAATGATTATATTTTTTTTAGAAAAAGTTCTTAAAGATGGTCGTGATATACCATTGAATGATCTTGAAAGTACAGCTATATTTTTTCAAAATCAAAATAATCATTTACTTGCTGGAAAATTTTTTATGTTTGCACAAAATTATGATCGAGTAAATTTTTTTTGTTTATTAATTTGAAATAAAATAAGTTTATTTTTAATAGGCATTAACACATTTAATGCATTGTACTGGTTCAACTGAAAGTAAAGGTATTGATTTAGCTATAACATGTGTTGGAAAAGCACGTAGTCCATTATTAACACAAAAATTACTTGAATATTTACTTGGAGAAAAAGATCAAATACCAAAAGTATTTTGTTTCTTTTTTTTTTATAAGGATATCTATATAAATTTTCTTTTAGGAAGCCAAATATCTCTTTCGATTTTATTTAAGTTTGGGACAATATCCTGAAGCATCTAAAACAGCAATTATTATTGCTCAACAAGATCAAGAATCGGGAAATTATCGCAGTGCCCGAGATGTTCTTTTTACAATGCACCAAGAACTTAAAGCACAACAAACAGCTATACCATTTGAAATGGCAAATAGTTTAATGTTATTACATAGTTATATTCTTGTTAAAATTCAAATCAAACTTAATAATCATGTAAGAGGATTTTTACAACCATTTTTTGTTGATTGAAATATTTCACAGATGGGTTTATAATTAAAGCACTTGTTCATTTCATTCTAGTTTATTCAAATAGATACAAAAATAACCCACTTCCTAGTACCGAATGCGTTTTTTGAACATAGTCTAATCAGATGAAAACTATTTGAGCACATATTTTTATCATCTATAGAACTTATTGAACCGTGATCGGAATTCACAATTCGACCTCGATTGACTGACGTATACTAACCAATGCCTAAATTATTTCTAGTAAAACTTCAGTAGACGATTAGAGATTACTGAGTTCTATTTATAGTAAAAATATGAGTCTTAGTGGTAGCGCTACTTATTGTCATTACTGTATTGAGTTAAACTCATAAGTTATTTGTAATCTTTTTTTATGAAACTATGCATTTTTTTTGTAAATTTAGAATCGTGCAGCTCGACTTCTTAATCGTGTAGCACATAATGTTAGCAAATTTCCTGCTCGTATGTTTAATGAATACAATTTTTTTATAAATTATTTTGATTTATTTTATTAAGATGTTGTTCAAATTTTAACAACAACTGTTGTAGAATGTCAAAAAGCAGGAATGAATAATTCGGCATTTAATTTTTCTCTTATACTCATGAAACCTGAATATCGTGATCTAATTGATGCTAAATATAAGAAAAAAATTGAAGCACTTATTCGGTAAGACAAAAAAAAGTCGAAATTGAATAATTAAATTTATTTCTTAAAATTAATTATTAGAAAACCAGATAAAAGTGAAAATGAAGAAGAGTATACGCCATGTCCACATTGTCACCAACGTGTACCTGATTATGAATTATTATGTCCAAGTTGTCAACTTGCATTACCTTATTGTATTATTACTGTAAGAAGTTTCTTTTTTTTATCTCCAAGAATATTTTAAAAATATTATTTAGGGAGCTCATGTTATCCGAGAAGATTTATGTGTATGTCCATCATGTAATTTTCCAGCAATACATTCTGAATTCATGAAGTAAATTATCTTATTAGAAAAAATTTAAATTTTATTTGCATTTTTTTTAGATATTTATACACGGATGATACATGTCCAATGTGTTCAACAAAAATTGATCTATCACGTATTATTAAACTTGATGGTGGACCAGCTGTAGATAGTTTTCTTGCACAATCATCGGATATGTCTTAATTAAAAGATTGAATTTTAATATAGAAAAATACTTTATACATGTTGTATACATCATGTTTGTTATATTAATATTAAATAAAGATTGGGGTTTTGAACACAATTTTTAGAGAAAAATAAATTCGATAGTTTTTATTCAAATAATCCATAAAAGATAAACAATCTATATATATTGAAAAGAGTAAAAATACTTTTCATGTTATAAATTCGAAATGTCCTCAGGCTAGAATGATTACATATTACTTGTAAGAGTATTAAAGCATCTTAAAACCTGGAACATACCGATTATAAATCGTGGAACAAAACAATTTTGCATCTATATTAGAATAAGATCATTTTATTCAAACTTTAACTACGCAGTAAGAATAAAGTTCATAAAAGATCTATACTAACGTTCATAATTCGTAATAGTATACTTCAAAATTGAACTGTCAAAATATATAATTGACAATAAACGGAAATGAGAATAATCAAAAATGAATATACAGTTTCTTAGACAACATCATCATCATCATAAGATAAATATATTCTCTTTCATTAATCACTGTCTTCATCATAGATATACTATTGACTGTGACCAATTCCATACGTGTTATCTTAACAATACTAATTCATTTTCATCATATCGACAGAATAGATTGTATGAGATACATTATTCTATCGTATATATAGATTTATATTGCACTTTGTAAACTCGTACACTAACGCTCTTACTTATTTATTTTAATATGACACGATCGTTGAATGATGATTTTTAGCGTGTTTAAAATTAATAGTAAAAATATACATTACAATTCTAGGAAAATTAAAAGATAACAATTACACATAATAATCAATAGATATAGATATATTTAAATTACAGAATTAATTCAAATATAGATACATAGAATAATTCGTACAAAATAACAAAATAGTCATTTTAGAAAATATAGACGTGTTGAACTTCCAAATTGAATATAAATCTTTGATTTATATGTAAAAATAAATATTTGATACAAATTCCTATTTCAAACACAATAATAATTTCATAGAATGATTAATAACGTCGATATCGATATCGTTTCAAATAATAACGAGGACCAAATTTTGATCGAATTACTCGAGCATATAGAAAATTTGAAGATTGTGACCGACAACATGTTCGTTTTTCTGGTGGTAATGAAGCACATCCATGATAACAAGGTATTGGCCGACAATAGGTGTGTCCCATAGTTTTCACAAAAAAATGTAAAATAATGAGAATGCCTAGTGCTTATATATATATATTATAACCCGCAGAAGAAAGAAAAATAATATGAGAAGCGAGGCGCTGTTTGCTGTCAGATAATTACTAATAGTGAGATCGTTTTTTCTTCTTTCTTCTAGAAAGAAAAAGGCAAAAATACGGATATGAAAAAGCTCAATTATTAAATAATTGATGAGGAAAAAAACAAGAACGTCACACTTAGAATATATTCGCGAATATTAAAATCGAAATTTTTCTATTATATTCATAATAATCTCTCAAATTTAGTTTGCTGGTTTAAT